TGCAAAACAGCTTTTCTGTCCTTTTTATGAAGAACTTGATGGCCTGAAAGATATTTTACTGTCCTTCATCAGAGTCATGCTAACAGTTAAATTTAATGTTTTATTTAATATTTTAGTTGCTCTTGCATAAGGCAGCTGTTTACATTGTCTCTTTCTTAGTTAAACAACTTTTCCGTCACTATGCTAACTGCTAACACTGCAGCAGCTAAAATGAGTTTTTCTCTTGAAGCAAAACTTATTATTTCTTTATATAATCTGGTTTATTCAGATTGTTTATAAAATAAAGTGTTAGTTGTATGTTTTAAGTCATTATTATTGTCGCAAAGTTCAGTGCAGACGAATCAGAATTAGATTTATTTTACCAAGATTGTGACCTTGATTTTAATTTCTCACAACATACAGACATAACTATAATAATAACATATATGTAAATCATACATGAATAAGTTTGTTCACGCAATAGAAAACATGCTGTTCCATCATCCTCCAACCACTTCCTGTTGTCTTCTTTGTGGTTTTCGCCAGTAGTAACATGATCACATGAATCAAATGATGTGAAAAAAGCTTTTCCGTTGCAATTTTGTCAAATAAATCAATTTCAAAATAATGGAAATACCACATCAGCGCAAAAACCATTTCGTAAAAAAGATTTTGATTTTTTTTTTAGGTTGCTGTGTTTCCATTTAGCAAATCAATTATATGATCAGCATAAACACTATGATGAACATTTTAATTACCAGAATAAAGCCCTAATGATATGAGAATAAAATTATATTTCCAGAATAAAATCATAATTTTATGATATATAAACTTATACACAAAGCTGGATTAAAAAGAGAAATTTTGAGAATCTTGTTTCCGAAAAACTTGGTTTCAGTTTTTTGGAAAACAGTAAATATTTTAACATATTAGCATCAAATTATTATTATGAGTTTGAGGCAGATCTTGATAATTGTTAGGCATAAAATTATTTTCTTTCTCTTAATTTTATGGATTTCTTCTGGTAATAATAATAAAAGAAAAATAATTTTGGCACATATAAGTGTAGATTTTGCCTTGAACAGTATTCCTTTTCCTGGATTTACCAGTTTTAGAAAATTCATGATGAAAAAGGACAGAAAGAGGACAGAGATGAGCGAGAAGGAGCAAAAACCAAATGATGAAAGGAGCAGAGATAAGAGAAAGTTTGGATTTGTAGGATGAAAGTGTCTGGAGAAACGCAACACGAGGGCAGAAATACAGGAAAAGGAAGAAGGCAGGCGGTTTTTCCAGTGACTTTTAAATTGGTTTTAATGAGGATTATTTTTTTACTGCTGTGAATTAAATCAAAACATGTCAGAGCTGTAAAATATCTCCACCTAGATATACATGTACATAACATTTCTGAAGCCAATACTGTGCTTAATGCAATTTCTTTCTTTAAATTTGGTAAAACTGCATCAATTTCAGTCAGTTTTGCTCTAAAAAACAGACACTGTGACTGAGTGTCTCCTGATAAACAGAAAGTAGCAGCAGCGTTTCCTGGTCAGGTGAGTTTTTGGAGATCCTGCCGAACAGCAGAGGGACAGATGTGATTCATTTATCATTTATCTGTGGGACGTTTTTTCACTTCCATCGTTTTATCCCATGGGAAACTGATCCATGTCTGCAGCAGAACGTCAGCCGCTAAATTATACATGCTAAAACTGTCGAAATCTTATACATTTCAATCTGATAAATAATCAAACATGATACCATATTTTTGCAACGTAATGTGTCCAGTAATTGTTGCTCACAGTTCAAGAGGCTCAGGAGGAAAACATTTTTCTCTTAAGCAACTAAAAGAAAGTTTGGGAGTTAAATCGCTGATCAAAGTTCAATTGAATTGTTTTACTGAAATTCAAAAAGTTGTAAATTTCTGCCAAAATTTCAGAAATTTTCTTTTTTTCTTGAAAATCTGAAAAGTTAAAAATTTACTAGAAAAACTCAAAAACCTTTGTGACTAATTTCAGAAATTCTCTGAAAATTCAAGAAAAATTTTAAAATTTCTGAGTTTAAAAAGTCAAAAAGTTTTTCTTGAAAATTGCTGAAATTAATCTTTTTTTTTTTACTTACACTGAGAAACTTCTGCATTTTTTTCTAGAAAATTTCCAAGATTCATTTAAAATGTTTTTTTTTTCTGGCAAATTTTTAACTTTATTACTCAGAAGTTGAGTTGTTTTTTACAAGAAAATTTGTGAAATTAATCTCAACATTTGTTGGGTTTCTTCCAGCAAATTTCCTTGTTGATTTCCAGAAAATTTGTGGGTTTTTAATTTTATTTATTTTGGCAGAAATGTACTCACGTTTCCCCTCCCTCTACAACAGCTGTCATCATAGAAATCTGATAATCGTTAATTATTTATGTTTCTATAACTGATTACTGAAATGGAAAAACCTACATCATTTATAGCACTGACAATAGTTGTCAAACAAATTGCTCTGTACCAAACATGACTTGAAAGAAATTTGACTTTGTAATTGGACGCCATGAAATTGGGTCTCTGTCTCTTTAAAATCTCCTGGTCTTTCTGAAACTCCGCCTTCAGGAAGTCACAACATGTTTTTACTAACAACAGGAAAAATATCTAAACATGACAATGTGTGAAAAATATCTGCACTCTGTTAAAATATAATGTGGTTTGTTACACCTGACTTCACCATCAAAAGGAAGATTTAATCAAAACGTCAAATCGATTTCACCGCCTCGCTGGAAAACTGTGTTAACTTATATTGAACATTGCTCTAGATAAGAAAATCATTCATTCATAAATTATTTTAAATATGTCACATAAATGTTGAAATTCGGTCATCACCTCAAATTCTGCAGAACAGACAGACACCAAACTAAACACAGCAAACCCTGTAAATCACAGCTGCAGACTGGAGAAAGTACTGGCTGAGCACCGAGTCTTCGTTACAGAGCGAAAGGAAATTAGAGAAATTGGATTCCAACTCAGACCAAGATTTAAGCAGCAAAAAAGAAAAACAACAACAAAAAACACACTAACAGAATTTTCTCCCAAAAGCTGCAAAAGCTGAAAATGGTGTACAGAAGCAAATTTCCACCAAAAAACCCAAATAAATTTCTGACTTGGAAAGGTTTAAAAATTGGCTAAAAAAATTTAAAACTTTTGAGATTAATCTCAGAAATTAGATTTTTTTTATTTATTGGAAATTTTTGAGTTTCAAAATATAAATGAAATTAGACTGGAAATTCTCTGAGTTTGAAAGGCAAACAACTTAAAAAATTTTGAGATTAAGCTAAGAAATTTTTGAAAAAAAAACGTGGAAATTTCAGAATTTCGAACGTAAAATAATTTCTTAGTTTCAACTTTTGAAACTCAAAAATTTCCATTTTTTCTAGAAAATTTTTTAATGTCAAATTTTCTGAGTTTTTTTCTAGCAAAAAAACTCCAGAAATTTATTAGTTTTTTCTTAAAAATTTGAGGTTTTTTAGTGAAGATTAATTTATTTTTTTCTGTCTGCAATGGCTCTAGTACACCATCTTAGAAACCAATTTATGCATCTGTCCAACCACAATGCATTCAACAAAAATCAGTCAAGCAGTTGTAAAATCTTAATCAAGAGCCTGGCAGTTTCAGTATGATGGTTAAAAGAGACGTCATTTAATTTCAGCGTTTGTAAGAAAAGGAAAACCTTCAGTGAATCAGACTGAATCCATCCCCTCTGCTTCCCTCACAAACACACAAAACAAGCAAATCTGGTGTTTTCTTCACTATTTTCACAAGATCTGGCAACCTTTATGTTTGGCACGCGAAAGGCGATCAATACATGAAACCAAAAGCAGCCAAAGCTTTCTGGAAGAGGAGGAACGACAAGTTTTATGATAGTCAGCAGCAACAACACAAATTTCACAGCAGTTATTTGCAGAGTGAACTTTGTTTTGTCACCATTTACTGCATGTATTAAGCCAGTTTAAAACATAATAAAGGAATGTATGGAAGTCCAAAAGTGCTACTTTGTTTTCCAGAAAGATATTATGATAAAAACTGAAAGCAAATAAAGTGATGGTTTATATAAATATTTAATTACTTATCCCTCAATAAAAAGTATTTTTGAAATACATATTGTTTTCAAATCTAATTGTTATTCTAATCTGTGATTGAAGTCAGTGGGAGGAGGTGAAAGTCCTAAGGGTGAGCCAATCGGGTATATTTTACAAGCTATGATGGCACATGACATTATTTTGTCCTTCAAGATCAAAATAATAATAAAATACTTAGTGCATATAATTAGCTTCCCATTATTTAATGAATATGTTCTCCCTATTTGTTTTATTCTGATGTAAAGATTGTAGTGATTGATTTACATAATGGATTTTTGACATTTTCAGCTTTCCATATGTATTCACAGTATAAGGAACTTGGGTTATAGCCTTTTGTAAATAAAATTGAACATTTATAACTTAAATCAACTTTTAAAATGTCAGCAAAGTGATTCATTTGCCATTTCAGGTGCCAGGTTCATAAAACAACCAAAAGCTGTATTTGCAGCTGTCATTATTTGATGATCTTCAAGAACAGAAGCAAAAAATATATAACAAAAATAACTGATAAAAATATTTTATATCTTTTAATTCTGATGTAATAATTGATTCCCTCAACAATAAAATTTTGACATTTTTGGTATTCCGTATCTCTGCGCAGTGTGAGGAACAAAAAAGAACAGTCTAAACTCAGGTTAATTTCTGGTAAATATAATTATTTATAGCCTCTTCTGAATTAAATTTAACATTTATGACTTAAATAAACTTTTAAAAAGCGAATAAAATTAATTTTTTATTTAGTTTTGCAGATTTTCAAGCGAAGCTTCATCCTCCTCCTCTTCCTCCTCCAGCTGCTGCACCAACAACCATGAAGCACCTGCAGCTTTCTAACGCGGATCGCTGCGCAGCGATGAAGCTCCCAGATCTGATCAGCCCCGCCGCGGAACCGAACCGGAACCGGTTTGGTACTCACTGAGAAGCAGAGCAACAGGCAAGAAGATGAGGCAGGCGGAGTTCAGCAGAGACGCCATGCCGAGCCCAAAGTTCGTCCTCCGGACCCACAAGTTTCAGCTTCGGTCCTGAACTCCAGAGTGAGTCTGTCCTTCACGAGGAAGAGGAGCAGGAGGAAGAGGAGGCACGTCGGCTGGTTACACTGAGTTCTCCTCCTGCAGCTGCAGCGCTTTCTCCGCTCTGAGAGCATCCGCTGCTGCTCCCCCTGAAAGCAGGAGGAGGAGGAGGAAGGAGAGGATGAGGAGGAAGAGGAGGAACAGCAGGAGGAAGGAAAGGAGGAGGTGGAGGAAGAGTAGGAGGAAGAGCAGGAGGAAGAACAGGAGGAGGAGGAAGGTCTACAGCAGAGTCCCTGATGAGCTCAGATTCTCTGCATTAACAAACTGACTCAGTTTTCCTGGTTTTCTGCCGGTTGTTTTTCGCACTTTGACCTCAGTCAGATCCAATGGACCCAGTTGATACAACACAGGAGTAAATTTCCTCCAAAACCCACAAATTTTCTGGAGAAAACAAAAATAAGAGGAAAACGTTGAAAACTGGATAGAAAAAAAATGTATCTCAGAAATTTCAGTGTTAAAAATTCTCAAAATTGCTTGGAAATATTACATTTCCCAGAATTTTAGTAATTTTATAATTGGATACAATTAATCCAAGAAATAATTTCTGTGGAAATTTCTGAGTTTGAAAGTCAAATTTTGGAAGCAAAACTCAGTTTGATATTTCAAAAATGCTCTGGAAGGAAAAAGGAATATTTCTGAGTTAAACACTTGAACAATTTGTTTTTGCTAAAAATTTATATCAACATTTTTATCTTCAAAATGAAATATTTAGCATACTATTTAGTTTGACACTAAATATGTAGTTTTAATTATTTAGCAAAATAATTAGTTAAGAGGTAACTAAATATTTTGAGCTAAACAATATTTAATCTATTTATCTTCAACCAAAAATATCTAATACAAGTAGTTAACATAACTAATTATTTAGCCTAAACATTTATCCAAATATTTTGTAGTAAAAACTAAATTTTTAAAGTTAATTTAGCTTATATATTTATCTTGCCCTTTAAATACTCAGAGCCTGTAATATTTTATGAATGAAAAATTAGCATTCACTGTTTTTTCCTTTCCAAATTACTGCTGTTCTGTTTTTACAGTGTAGCTCCACAATCAGCGTCTCAGAAAAAAATAATAAAATCCAAATAAAACTAAAATCTTGCAGGTTTTTAAAAAACAGACACACAAAAACAATGAACATTTTCTCTTTTATTCCAAAACGTTTGAGGGTAAAACAAACTATAAACAGAGCCGTCCAAACCGGAGGAAACAAACACAACGGAGAGACAGAGGAGGAAAAACTTCGCAGATTGCTAGTAGTCGAAAACAGAACAGAACCGCCGCTTCTCTCGTTCTCAACCAAAATGTTTGTCAACAGAAGGTCCATGCTCTCCTCTGCGGTCCGGCCCCAGCCGCCGTCAGGAACGGATGAAACGCAGTAAGGCACTTTCCAGACGGGTCCGACGGATCCCAAACACCCCAGATGAATTTGTTTTATTTTACAATCCAAATCTACCCTGTGAGTCAAACAGCTCCAATATTTAACAGAAATCTCAGTTTATTCTGCAAAACAAAAAAAAAGAAACAGGATTTCTTTTCTGTAGAAAATAAAGGGTCCAAGTGAGTGCTGCCCCCTATAGCCTAAGAGGAGTAACTGCACATTCAGTTCACAAACATCCTGATGATTTATCAGTAATAATCCCGTTTAAGGTTTTATTATTATTATTATTATTAAGCTACTCTGGGATTTAAAGCAAGTATACATGGCTTACAAATACTAAATGCTCTTCATATAAAAAACAAGTGGTGGACGGTGATGGATTCCTGGACTGCTCCTGATTTTAAACGAATAACCTTATTAAATCCTGAAAAAGAAAAAGGAATCATCTCCATGAACATGAGCGGATTCTCGAGTTGGGGGCGTGAATGTCACCTCCAGCCAATTAGGGAATAACGGAGAGGAAATATAGGATGCCTCGGGGAGCCGGCGTGCCTGTGGTCGCCCTGATGGGCTGCAGGATTCGCTGAATTCCCCGGCGCAGAAACAACAAAAAAAGGTCAGCTTTTTGCTCTTAAGGCGACATTTCCAGGCCAGACGTCTCCGCGTTCGGCTGAAGGCGACCGGAATGTCAAACCTGTCCTGATTATCGGCGTCCAGCGGAGGGAGGAACTGAAAATCTTCTCTTTTTTTTGTTTTTCTTTTTTTTTAGCGTAAAGATCAGGAGGCAGACGTCCTGAAGCTTCAGCACTAAAACATTCGTTTGGAGGTCGCCTGCAGGCCTAGTGGTTGACGACTCCGTGCAGCATCAGGAGCAGGCCGCGCGCCCGCTTGCTGAGCGGGCTGTGCGGGTCCTGCTGCAGGAAGGCCAGCAGTTTGGATCGGACCTGGGCCAGAACCGACGACATGTGGTCCCTGGTCAACGGCTCGCTGTGGTCCAGATTCATCACAGCGTCCTCCAGGTAGCTGGGAGGGAGGAGGGATCAAAGGATAGAAAAACATTTAAAAAACATTTGTGCTACTGTCGTTCCTGTGCAGCACTTTGGTGCAGCTTTATACCCGTTTTAAAGTGCTATATAAATAAATTTGACATTGACATTTAAACTTTTAAAACCATAGTTTAAACATTCAAACCATAATTTAGACTTTTAGTCATAATGTCAACTTTCAAAGTCATAATTTCAAAAATAAATTGTTATCACAAGTTTGAAGGTCATAATTTTTACTTCTGAAGTCCTAATTAGGAAATAATTGTGCTACAGGTTTCATAATTGTGACTTTTAAGACTTGAAATTATGAGTTTTGATAATTGTTTTGGCTTGATGAGGAAATAAAACATTTCTTCATTAAGCCAGTTGGTGTGTTATTTTTCTTTTATAATACAAATGGAGATCCATAATATTTACGTTTACTTAAAATAATATTTGTTTTATTCCTTGCTGAATGAAGCCGGTTCTAAGTCAACCGTCTAACTTTATGTTAATCCCAGGTCTTCCTGTCTTCTCGTCCTCCGCCGCTCAACATTTAACTCTTTAATTAATCGTTTCAGGTCGGACATCTGGTGGGACGACGTTGGGTTTCCGCTGCAGACCCATTAAACCGACACGCTATGAAATGGGCCGGTAACGCCGCGGCGGCGCAGACTCTGAGCTTTTAATAACTCATCTTTTGCGCCGCACCTTTAAAAACACACAGGAGCGGCTTAAACTGCCGCTCCGCATCATCTGGCGCATAACGACCCCGCTGAGATCACCGTTTCTGAGGATAACGACGCTCAAATGCCGTTTATGAGATGCTTCCAATCAGGAGACGCCTTCAACTGCACAGGCTGTGATTTACAGTCACACTGATCGCCTGATTTCTGTCTCTGCAGCGCAAGAAAAGGCTTCAAAAAATAAGCTAAAGTTAAGAATAAAAAGAAGCCGCAACCCACTGCCTTGAAAAGTGTGGGAACAGGAAGCTTTTTTACTTTTCTTTTATAGGACCCAATAAAGCAGAGGAGAACAAGGACGGAGCGGAGCAGCAGAGAGCAGCTAAAACCTGGAGCTAGCTCCCCGGACAGCCGTGCAGCAGACGGAGCGGCGTGATGGGGTCAGCACTTTACCGCTGCTCCGCCCACAGGGGGCGCCGCGTAATGGCCCAACTGTGGAGATCAAATGTGAGGAAATAATTTAGTCGGAAGGCTGAGGGGCGTTTTATCGCTGAGTGGGAGAGAAAGGGGCGGGACAAGTTTTTAGAAGTTATAATTAAGACGTTTCTGCAGGTTGAGCTGCTTCACATTGGAGACCAGCAGGAGGACAAGAGGAGAAAATTAAAACATTCATGTGAAGAGAAAATATTTAAGAAGAAAAATACTTTATACCAGAGTACTGAGTCCACACCAATATACGGATAACAACAAAGTCATAATAATTTGAGAATAAACTCAGACAAGAATGAAGTCATAAAATGACAAGAATAAAATCAGAATGGGAATAAAGTCATAATACTAGAATAAAGTTGTGATAATCTGAGAAAAAAAATGTAATAAATTTGCAAAAAGATGTGCAATTATACAGCTACACATCGTTGAAAAGTGGAGGTGGAGCCTCCTGCACAAACAACAAGAATGCAGAAAGTGATTTCTGGATGGTAAGTCAAAACTAAAGCTTTTTTCCAGCAGCCATTGTACAGTGGATACAGCGGTAAAACTCAGTTTGGGTTGCTAAGTAACGTTCAGAACTCTGTTGCTGGCTATTAGCAGCTAATTGCTGCTGCTAATAGCCAGCAGCAATTAGCCAACACCTGTTGGCTCTGCTGAGCTTATTATAGGAGCTACTTCTCAGTGAAAAAAAACCACCCAGCTGATTTGTGACGACATGTGGAGGTTTTTGGAACGGCTCATTTTCCAGACTCCAAAAAAACAATTTATTGCCAAAAATCAGCTGGGTGTTTTTTCCACTAAGAAGTAGCTCCTATAATGAGCTCAGCAGAGCCAGCAGCTTGTGGCTAATTGCTGGTGGCTAGTCTGAACCGGGTGAATAGTTGCCATGGAGATTAAAAGGATTTCCAAAACATGCATGCAAGAATCAAAACAATGCCTCGGGGAATCACATTATAACATGATTTCATTTAATTCTGCCATTTTAATCTAAACTTGTAAATGTGTAATTTAAACAAAAAATTTATTTTTCCTTGAAAGGTTCCTTCCTAGTCGTCTAGTGACCAGCATAAGGAATGCAGGCCACCTTACACCAAAACCATGAGTGAAAAGAAGTAACTTCAGCTGCGATCGGTTGTGTTTCCTCACCTGATCTTGAGCTGGGAGCGCGTGGCGAGGTTGGAGGACAGCTGCTGGATGAGCGACAGCAGCACCGGCTGGCTCAGGGGGCACGGCGTCTGGCCGAACACCTGCTGGGAGTCGATGGTCTCACACACGTACAGAACCAGGTTCAGGTCCGTCGCAGACAGAGCCTGCAGCACAACACAGGGGCAACGTCATTCTGCTTCCTTACACAGATACTCATCCCATCTGACGACACAGATCTGGTTGGATGTCGACATCAGGTTTGCAGAACTGGCTGCTGGGAGGATTTACCAGCATTAACAAGAACCAGGGCAAATATTTACACACAAGCGTTTTGGCATGTCTGAACAACAAAGAGGAAAGATCTGGATGAGCTCAACCACCGATGTTATCTCAGCAGCAAAGCCTTGATTATTTAATCAGTGAGAAAATAACTTTTTCTTCTCCTCATCAAAGTCATCAAAGTTGAAGTTTGCACCCAAAGACTGTGGCTAAATAAGACTGATAAGACTATCGCTACTTTGACATATTTTTACTCGGGTAAGAAGTCGCCATCCAAGAAATTACTGAAGTAAGAGTAAAAAGTTTGTGTGTCTATCTGGTGAGTTTTTGATTAAAACATGTTTTTCATTCAGTGGAGATCAAACCCTCAAGCTAACATTTATATTTTTAAATATTATTTTATCAATTAAATCCAAGCTATTTTTTCTATATTGTGTCAATGTGAAAAGATTATTTAACTGTAGGTAGTAAAGACAGCTTTTTAATGGTTTAAGTAGTTTCATCAATGCCAGCCCTTTGAGGACATTTGTGATTTTGTCGTAACACAAAATGAAAGTGAGATCAACATCCTGCTGTGTCATGTACACAAAAAAGATAAAAATCCTTCTTATAAATCTGTCCTACACAGAACTCATTAAGTGACATTTTCCAGCATCATCTGGTTCAAATAAAACAAGAAAATTTCACATTAAGCTCCTTATACTATCTAATTATCAAAAATTAATCAATTAATCTACAAATGATCATGTGTTCACTAAAAGAATGTTATATTATTGCGATTTAGATATTTACATGTTTATTTTCTTGCAAAAGGCTTTGAGTTATTTGTCACATTGCATCTTTTAGTGCATTTCTAATAGTGCATGGAAAGGGATTCTTTATTTTCATAGAAAATTAATCATCCAGATAATTGATAATGAATGTAATCATTAGTTGGAGCTCCTGGCTGAAAGGAACACAACCATTTTAACCCCTACTAGAGATTAATGAGTCGAGATTTTAAACATTTATGGACAGGATGTTTCCCCCCGCAGCAGGCTGAGACATGACAGGAAAAATCAGCCACTTTAAAAACAGATGAGCTGTAAACAACTTCCAGAAGAGCTGAAAGAGGAAAAATAACAAATAAATAAAACAAAACAAAAAAACCGCTGAGCTTGTTCAGTTAAAAGAATTTCCAGAAACAAAGCAACACAGTGAATGAATCCCTGCCTGGTGTGTAAAATTTGTGGGCCTGGCATGAGTTTGTGTGGCCTTTCACTGAAAATCTGTGCAAATTTGGCAGATTAAACTGACATGTTATTTTAGGGTGAAATTTCCATTTAGAGTTTAAATCGTAAAAGGAAAATGTCAAAAAAATAAAAAAAATTTTCATTAGCAGATCATAGCCACAAACATCCAGAAACTTTTACTCTGAAACACACTTGGACTACAAACTACAAAGACTTTACAAGAAAATTCAGGTTTTTGTTGCTGGATATGAACCAAAACCAGACAAAAATAGAAAATAACTGCCTAAAAAAGTCAAATAAATGTAAATGTTAAGGCATATTTCAGACTAATGTTGCTTTCTGTAAAAACTTTAACTCTTTCAATTTATTGTTGTGCAGGTAAAGGAGTGAGATTTCACAATAATAGTATTTTTGCATTTTTTCAATGGAGAGAAAAAGATCATTTTGGTCCCTGAGGACTTTCAACTTGTGGATTTTGCCTTCCACAAGTTGCAAACAGTTTGGAGATCGCCGGTTTAGCTCAGCAGAGGGACTGAGTCTGGCAGGGTTTGCGTTGACAGAATATTCCATCTCTTCATAACTAAGCGGAGTTGATTCGTTTCATTCTATCAGTGATTTTTTTAACTATGCAGAGAAAAAGTCAGATATGTTCTTCTGCTTGATTAATGTATGATGGGATCTGGATTGACAAACATTTAACTTGTTGAATTTTAGTTAAACCGCATAAAAATTAAAGGCATAAAAATAGTCTATGTCAATAACATTTAAAAAACTGATAGATAAAAATAGAACATGACGGAATATTTTTGACGCCATCAGTCAAAATGACAGACAACAAAAACGTCCGGTGTCTGGGTCGAGTCGGTACCTGCTGGAAGGCCTGGTTGAGCTGGCCCTGTTGGAGCAGCTGCAGGATGTTCGCCTGCTGCGACTGGTAGTCGAGGTGTGCGGTGGGGACGGGCGTCCCGGCGGCAGAGCGCATGGCCTGCATGATACTGGAGGTGACGACGGCCTGCTGCTCCCTCATCGCCAGGCTCACTTCGCCTTTCACAATGCGCTGCAAGTGGCTCAGGATGGACTCCTGCAGGCTGGAGGAGACACAGTTACTGCCTGAGTGTGACGCTGTTAGTGCAGTAGCGAGCTCTTCTGCTCAATCTATAAACTACTGAGGCTGGGAAATGAATTGGCGAACAAGAGACCATATAACATTTATGCTCTCACGTCCGTTACCGCATATTACATCTAGCATAGGTAAATATTGCTGGACGATAAATTGTCCCAGAAATGATTGCTATAAACAGTAATATTGTTGTTTCAAACCATTTTCAAGTAATATAAGAGGCATAATCATGCAACACCACAACTAACTGCATGAAGTTAGTTGATGGAACTGGAAGACACAAAATATTGAAAACAAATAAACAAAACAACAAATAAAATGGATAAGGAAGTCTCTGTAAACAAAAAGGTGAGTTAAGACCAAAGCATCAAACTGAAGAAATAATGGTAAAAAAAGAGGGGAAAAAAAAGTTAAAATTTTTTAGGTTGTTATAATTTATCAAGTGAATAATTGATTGATTATTGATTGTGACATGCCTAACAAATATTGCTGGACAAAAAAAAAAAAAAAGAACAGAAGGAATTTCAGATGTAAAAATATGTTTAGGTTTCTTGAGTAAAAACAGAGGAAATCATCAGGTTTGGAGTAAAAAAATTTCCTTCTGTAAATTTACTTAATTTGCCCAAAAAATAAATTGGCCAAAATTGGAATTGGCGATTGGAAAATAGCAATTAATGCACCTCCATCCAGAAGGTTTTTATAATGTATGAGGCAAAAACAATTCGGGTGAGGGACAAAACAAAAATTCAAATTATTTTCTGTTCCATCTTCATTTTCTGTGACGCTTCCAAGTGTTTGCTTTATTTTGGTATCAAGACGATTAAAACAAAGTTTGTAATTGCTGAGAAAAACTAAATCAGATTTAGTTTTAAAATGATTTATTACTTGGTTATGTTGTTTCAAGCACACTTCAGAAAACCCGAGGCGTGTTTTTAAAGGCGGCGCGTCTCGATCGGAGCGCAGGTACGTACTTCCCCACCACCACCTGCATCTGGTGCTGGACCTCGGCTCGAACGGCGGCAGAGACGCTGCTGGCCAGCTGATCGGTGCAGCTCTGGAAGCCGTCGATCGTCTGCTGCAGCTGGCCGATCACGGGGTCCCGCGCTTCCTGCTCCCTCTGCTTCCGGCTCTTCAGGTGGGCCTCCAGCTGCTGGATGTCTGCGGAGAAAACACAACTTAATAAAAGAAATACACTCCTCTCCACTCAGAGCAGGTTGTCATGGTCATGCTCAGCGACAGGACTCAAACTTTAGCGTTTTAAGGTTAGCTTAAGCTAATAGATGTTTGATAAATTAGGTTTATTATAAACATTTTTAGTTGTTTACATAAGAAAACCTTTTAAAAAGTAAAAGTAAATAATACTTTATGCTAAATCCTAAAATGAGCTGTGATAAATAAATGTGAAAAAAATGTCAAACTTTCCAACTTTTATCATTATCTGAAAGATAAAACCCTGAAATTTTGCGTTTTTACATTAATTTATATTCAGATGGGGACCATTAGTTTTAGTTCATTACGACACAATTAGCATTTTTATACCCCACAAACCATTAATCATTTTTTAATTTTATGAATCGTCTCTTAATTACCAAGAGAAACGCATTCTTTCTTAAATACAAAAAATAACAGCAAGGTTTAGTCATAGTTTTTTCTACCTAAAAAATAAAAATGCATAAAAGATAATGAAATACAAAAGATAATTTTGCTCGAAAAATAAATACATAAACAACAATAGTAAAAAATAATTGTATATATATATTTAAAAATATATAAATGAGAAAAAAACTAAATGAATAAAGATCATTTGACTTCAAATCTTACTGGGTTTAAAACTGGACCCAGGGTTCTTGAACTGGGTTTAGATGTGAAAAAGCATAAAATGTCAAATTTTTGTTTTACTTTTAGAAAAGAAATATTGATTACTTTATTTTTTAATGTATATCCACCAATCTCTAATAGTTCATTTCAATAGATGAACTCTTGCTCTGCACAGCCTGTTAATAGCTTTTGTGTCCTGTTAAACGCCAAACGATCTGCTTTATGTAAAATAATTGCAATCATATGATTCAGTAAGCGTTAGCTGTGTCAGGCCTGAAGTGATGCAGCAGTTCTGATGCTAATGCTGCGGTTTCAGTCAATATTTAATCACTCCACACGGACTACATTTAAATAGGAAGAGGTGTGCGTTCTCCATCTGTGTGGACTAAATTGCTCATAACAGACGTTACTCCATCGCAGGATCTTGTGTCACCTTGTCTTCCTCCTTTCTAGCAAGAATTTAAAGCCGCAGGACATCCTAAAAAAATAGATAATAAAAATAACAGAAAAAAAATCCAGTCTTCTCCAACGCAAGACTTTACTGTAAAACGGAGGAAGTGTTTGTCTCTGCAGACATGTGGGACGCTTCTCTGCACATTCAGACAGTTTGAGTCTCAAGGCTCCAATCTAGGCGAACCTATAGTGAAGATCTGCTGTCTGTGTGCTCAGACGAGCTGACCCCTGACACCAACCAGACAGAAAGACACAAAGAACTTCAATACAGATCCTGAACTCAACACTGAGGATAACAATGCAAGTGGAAAAGCTTTTTTTTTTTTACATTACTTTATCAGCATTTATGGCATTTTATGACATTTTATGGCTGTAAATAACAAAAACTAAGCCTGACTGTGGATGTATGGCAGATATTTCAAAGGAAAAAAATGGATGTGTTAAAGAAAATATAAATATTTTCCCTCATTTTCTCACTCTCTACTCATTCAGACCTGGAAAATGAGCAACAGCCAAGGGCCACCAGGAATCTTCGGCCCCATGACAAAAAAATAAATTGGAGGCAAACGGACTGTAGCTAAGCTAACTACGCTAAATGGTTGATAATCTCACAGTCTATCCACCTCTCTTGGAGAAAAACTAATTTTATAAGTTTTCTTAGTAGCACAGTAACTGCCACAGTTGTTTTTGTTTTCTACTGACTGTTGCTGAACATCGTCACCGTCAAGCAGATCCAGGGGGGTTTCAGGGCAAATACAGATGTGTGTTTTTTGGTCTGGGAGTGGAAACATTAAATTTTTACTGCTAAAAACAATCTTCGAAAATACAATATGATTAATTTTATAATTGACAAGGCCCCAATTTTTTTTATTTCATTTCTATGAACAAAAAAATAAATAAAATTGTGGAGGGCCCCTGTCGGCCAGGGGCCTGAGAATTGTCATAACCTTTAACCCCTATTCGGCCACCCTGGCACAAAAGCCATAGCTGCTTTTGTACTTTTCGTTTTGAGGTTTTTCACCTAACTGCCTGTAGCTAACATTCATCACTTCAATAAATGTGAGTCAACTACTCTTAAAAGGGCAGTGTCATGTGTTTCCGGCCATTTTGTAGCACAATCAATTAACTGTGTCAAATTCAGTTGTCACAAAAATGCTGCATATATCAAATATGACTTCAAAGAAATTGAACAACTTGAAATTGGGCCTCTGTCTCTTTAAGACTGCTGTTCTTTCTGAAACTCTTCTGGCTCCTCAATTAACCCTTTAACAACGTATTTACCAGTGTTAAACAGAGCAGAAGCTCCTACAACTACAGTAGTCCCATAAAGTATTTGCTAACTGATGCTAGCTAGTCTTAAGGAGCAGGGGAAGAGCTGTGACTTGAAGGCAGGTTATATCCAACTAGGTGTTTTTCACAGCAGAATGGTTGCCATTGAGATTAAAACATCATAACATGATGTAAACAGTTGACTTTACATTACGCTGCCCCTTTAAGACATTGAGTGAAATCCAGTTGGAAACTTCACTGTAGAAGTGACGCCTTTCAAGTGGAAAGTTACAGATTGTGAGCAGTCCATGGTGTTAATTTGTGCAGCCTTACAGTCCTGCGTCCCCTGCTTGAAGCTGTCGTTGATCTGCTGGAACATGGACTGGCAGCCTCTTTCAAACACGGGCAGCACTGTGCTCTGGAAGACGTCTTTGTAGGCGGCCTGGATGGGGCCCTGCATGGCCTCCGCCGCGGCCCGGCCCATGGCGTCCGTAGTGTTCTGATCCAAACACACAACAAGTAAGAACTAAACCAGGGGTGTCCAAACTTTGTGCCACACGGGCCAAAAGTGTTGACTCAAAAACCAGCCTAAAATCCAGCAAATGAAGTCGCCCAATTTCTTTTTATTTAACATTTTTTCAAATGTTATTTTTTGTAAATTTTTATGACAACGTATTTGGGGCATTGTAAATAAAAAATAAGAATATAAAAGGTGGAGTAGATTTCAACCAAAAACTTCAGAAATTTAATGATTAATCTCAGAAATTTTCTAGAAAAAAACTTTTCTGAGTTCCAAAAGTCAAACATTTTTGACATTTTAAACTAAAAAATGTCCACGATTTAATGCAGTAAAACTGCAACATACTTTCGACCAGTCCAACGTGACCCCGGCTCTCGCCCGAAACGTGGGATCATTAGGAACAAGGGTGTAAGAAAATAAATAAATAGATGGATGGACGGACAGACGGATGGATGTAGTAAAATTTCTGAGATTAATCAAAAAATGTCAGGTTTTTTTTCTACAATGACCCTCATTCACCAGATTTTGCACGTTTGCTGTATTAAAAGGACGACACCTACTTTCCAGTTTCTTTTAGGCTCTATTGCATAACTTTATTTTCAGTGATAAGAGAATTTGGATCTCTCTCTTTGAAAGCACTTGCTCATCCGTCTACATTTAATAAAAATATAAAAACTGACTTGTGTGCAGAAAATGTGGCTTTTCAGGAAAATTCTCTGGATAAACATGGTTTTACCTTCTCTTAAAGCTTGGTCATAAAAACATGATCGTAAGAATTTTACCCTGATTACAAATTAGAACTCTCCATCTGCATCTATGTATGAATTTTGAATTGCAGTTCAGGGCTACAAATGGTTTTTTTCTCATTTGTAGAAAAAAAACATTTTTTTCTACAAATGGTAGCTACGATCGGGTAGCTAGCCGACCCGATCGTCGGCTAGCTACGATTGGGTTCTGCAGGGAACTCTGAATGTCGCTCTTCTAGTAAGAAAACAATTCAAACACACAGATTCCTGGTGTAATTTTCGTTTCCTCCATTGCATTTCTTTTCATGGATTATGGTGATGTCAGCGCACACAGGGCGGCCATCTTGAACTAAACAATAAGAGGTGATGAAACTGCAGAATTTGATCAGCCTACCTTGGATTTGACCACTTTGATAACGATGTCCTTAATTGTGACCTCCACGGCAGCCATCTTAGCGGCGATCGAGTTGTTCAGCTGCCCTGTCACCGGCTCCAGACTCTTAGAAATGGCTGGAAAATATCAAATAAAGTGAAAGTGGGGGGAAAGATTAGCAGCGTGTCTATAATTAGACAAGCAAAAAAAAAAAAAACTTTTTCACTCTGAGTGCGAGGCAGAGAAACGTTTCTCCAGAGACGGCAGCGTTTTAGTCCGACATCAACACACCTCAGCGCTTTTTGCTATATTTAATTTTACTTATGCTCAGAATTATCTCAAGCATTAAATAACAGCATCATTTATTGATGTGCAGCCTGCTTTGACTCGGAGCATTTCAAAGTGACAAAACAAAAAAGCAGCTCATCCGTGACCATGTGAGTTTATTTTAAATGCTTCATGGATGCAGTTCATTATCTGCTGCAAGACTGATGCAACCATGCGCTGCCGTCGGCTAGCTACGATCGGGTTCTGCAAGGAAATCTGGATGTCGCTCTTCTAGTGAGAAAACAATTCAAAAATACAGATTCCTGGTGTAAAATCATGACAAAAAAAAGCTATGAGTGGAATAAAGCTACAAAGAGTTCAAATCAATCTCGGAAGTTACAGCTTCCTAAAAGTCTTGAAAGGCCAGAAAACCAGAAGCTATCTCTCCGACCCCCTGGAAAACAGGAAAATAAAAAACTGCTGCATTTTATCCAGGGCTGGGATATCTAGATTTAAAGACTATCACAATATTTTGTGCTTTTTGTTGTCTTTAAAAAAATCACAGATTTTAGATTCACAATTACAAATACTGCTTCTCACAAAAGCAGAAGCTGCTTCAATGCACCACTTAGGTGAAACAAACTGTAAGTTTGTGACTTAACTGGAATTTATTGATGTCGTAAAACCAGCAAAAATACCAATTATACTTCTATATTTTAGGGTTTGCAAACAATCAATTCCAGTTTATTGAGATCAAGTTGTTACTAATCTTCATGTTAATATTTTCAAATAGTTTAAACAAGTTTTTGTTTGAAGAACTTAAGTAGGGCTGAGCCACAAATAAATTAATAAAATTTTGGGGCTTTTGAAGATTTAAATTTTCTTTTCCTCCACTGCATTTCTTTTCATGGCTTATTATGGTGATGTCAGCGCACACAGGGCGGCCATCTTGCTTGGCAGGTCTGATTTACAGCTTCTATTTATTCATACTTTAAAAGTTAGGGGCACACTGTAATTTTTTTCTTTAATCACGAGAATAAAATTGTGATATTACAATTATTATAAATTTACATTATGCCACCCTGGGCAGACACCATCAGAAAGGAACAGGAAACCTCAGAACTAGAAAATAAAATATATCTTATCTGACAATAGTTTCCTGAATAAACTTGCTACTACTTATATGCATGTGTATTGGAAGTAGTTTCCCTTGGTTGATGTTGTGTACTGGAAACTACATTATTTGCTTTTTGCTACAAAAAGAGCACAGAAAAAAACAAAAACAAAAACAAAAAACCCTGACAATTGCTTATATTTTCATTGGTTGGAATACAGTAGGAGGGCCTTGCATAACAGCACGCTCATTCACATTTCAAGCTTGCAAAGTTAGGCGCAGTGATAATAAATATACTACTTCATACATTTTCTTAATTATTTGACCATGCTACTATGGATCCCTTGCAGCGTGACGTCGCTCATGCAAGATCCTGCCCCCAGCTCCCTGCTGCTGGCTGACGATAAATAGCAATGGTTTTAGCACTAAATCTTAAATGTATACATGATAAAAACGCAGTGCTTTGCTCCAAATCCTCAACACTAACATGACTAGATAAGGTCAGGAGAAAGTTTTAATTAGGGAGGTAGAGGAAGTAGTTCAGTTATGCTACCTTGACATCCATAACATGCAGATGTGATGTGGAATTTGTTGTGTTTTGGTTCAGTTACAAAATAAAATAAAATATTTTATTTTATCGACTCAGACATTTCAACAGTAAAGCAGCTGTTTAAATTAGCTAATCAACCACCATTGTGTTAGCTTAGCTTATAGCAGTGGTAGCTCATCTAATCACAGCAATCACTGTTTAATAACAGTGAAATAAACATCAAGCCTGAAAACATAAAACTGTAATGGACTGAATGTTCTGTTCTTTGTGTGAAAAATGTTTTTGATGTTGGATCCAGAGACAGAAAGTGGTGTTGCGGTCAATCACTATGGCCCAACGATTAGCTTACTTTGTGGTACTGTTTTCTTTAGCTCCTCTCTCAGGACTTTGTCCATCCTGTTGGTCAGCGCCGTGCTGAGGGCGTGGCTCAGCTGCTGGCTCAGCTGCTCGTGAAGCTGTTGCTGGCGGCTCTGATTCTCAGCCAGAGCTCGGTCCAGTCTGCGCTCTGAGGCCACCGAGGGTCAAGGCACAACGACAGACAGACAAACGTCACAGCAACCACAATGCAGCGCCTCATGCTAGAGGAGAAAACGCGTGGAGGATACGTTCCTGTTCCTGGTGTTTCATCAGAACGTGCTCCACCTGCGCCATGATGGTTCCCGGCATGGTCTCCACCAGAGAACACAGATCCGTTAGCTCCCTCTGCTGGCTGCGCAGCAGCATCAGGAGCTCATCCTGAGTCTCTGTGTTAAACTGCAGAACACCAAATAGGAGACTGTAATTATCTCATTGCGTTTTATTCAAAACTTGACAAAATAAGCAAATTCTCAATTCAAAAACCCTTTTTGAGGGTAAATTTAGACATATGACCCGAATCGGTTATTTAGGTTGAAGACTGTGGATGCCGACATTAGCTCCCTGAGTGAGTGTCTTTGCTACCGCTGCATGGGTAGCATTCAGATGCTTTTTGTAGGCTTGAATAGCATCTCTGACAGGTTAACTACTTTCAGCACAACTTGAACACAATAATACATTGTTTCAGCATCCAATCAGATCAATGTTTGAGGCAGAAATTAACCCCTCGTGTGTCAAGAAAAGCTGCTGCAGATGGACCAAAATAAACATTAAGTGAAAATGGTAGTATTTTAAGGACAACACAATGTTATGTTTTTAGACAACATAAAATTTGTCCTTTTTATTGTTGAAGTTATGAAAATTCAACAAAACCTGCAGGCATCTGTTTGTGTCTGGTCAAAACATGTTTGTTTTTCATTTAGTGGGTAGAAAACCCAGAAATTTTACTCAAGTAAGACAAGAGATACTTCATAATGAAATTACTCAAGTAAAAAGTACAACATACTAAAAAGTGCTAAAATTACATTTTTTCAAATTTACTGAAGTAGATGAAATTAATTAAATGTCACTAGTGATTAGCCGCCTGTACCTGACCAGGATCCATGTGTCTGGGCTGAGAAGAGTCACTGGAAATGAAAGAAAACGTTCCTCAAAATGTGTAAACAACATTTAAGACAATTATTATCAGTAATAAAACTAAATTAAATTATTTATTCTGCATTTTCTTAACTGCTGCATCCATTTTCATTACAACTTTAGCAAATTTAAAGAGAAATAAGAAGTTTTAACATCAAGAAACAGATAAATAATCAAGCGGACATTTTGCTTTTTTAGTTTTGAACATACCCGTCATCTTTCTTGAGTTTCCTCTTCAGTTTCGGCGAGGCTCGTGGCGAGCTCTTCCAGTCTTTCACTGGCATCCTGTGAGAGGAGCGAGAGCCGCAGTTCCCAGAGGATGAAGCCAGGCTGGCGATCTCGTCATCAGGATCGCTGCACACAGAAATGTCAAAGTTTCAACAGCGACCGCAGCTTCAGAGGAAGTCTCTGTAATCATGTAGTGAAAGAAGCTGAGCAACTTGGCGTCACCTCTGGTCAGCGCCGACATCCTGGCTGTCATTCTGGGGGAGGTGGTAGGAGCGCCGGTGGAAAGGAGAGCTCAGGCGGCGCTCGCTCGACTCGTCTCGCAAACTGTAAGACAGGTGAAACAATTAATTAATGAACAAAACAAAGTTTGAAGTTTTTATCTTTGGGCCTAAAGCGGAGCTGTCTAGAGTCAGTTATTAACCTGACCTGGCTCTGAAGCTTCAGAGCCAGGTTTCAGCCTGATCTGTAGTTTCTTGTTACATGACATTTACAAAGTCGGCCTTCTATCAATTGAACAACATCTCCAGGATTAATGTTGCAAAGCTTCTTTTTTTTTGAAGAAACATGAAAACCAGATGAAGAGAGTGTGTTGCCAAACCAGTCTATCAGATATTTGAACCCAATAAGAGACTAAAATAAGTTTTTCTATAGTGTAGTGATGGACTCTGACCTGAACCTTTAACACCACAGAAAGACAGTTACAAAGTTGGCCTTCTGTCACCTGAATAACATTTCCAGGATTAGAGCACAAATGCAGAAACAAGATCTAGAGAAACATGTCCATGGTTTATATTTAGTCGCATCAATGTCTGCAGCAGGGCCTTCAAAGTTCTAAAAAAAACAAAAACAAATCAAGTCTGCAGCTGCTCTAAACCGCTGCTGCTGTCGTTTTGACTAAAACCAGGATGATGGAGCACCTTGCCCAGTTCTACAATCCTTTCAAAGAGAGAATAGATGTTAAAACACTGTTGTTAGTTTATAATCACTGAACAGCTTCGCACCACAATACACAAAAGATTTGCTGGTGTTGTATCAACCTTCCAGGTCTCTCAGGTCTTGTGGTTCTGCTCTGCATCCCCAAAACCAAACATGGAGAAGCAGCATTCAGACAAAAAAAGAAACCTGTTATACTATCTTCAGCAGATTTACAGACTTTGGGAATTAAAGTGATGGAAAGAAAAATCCTATTTTCAGTCCAATGAGTCGTGTTCTCTTTAGTTTTTCATAAGGGTTGAAGAAAGGGGGTGAAACAGACTGACCACTCTCCCAGCCCGTTGTCCCTGAGGCTGTTCCTGGTTTCCCTGGTGATGTCTGGAGCCGCTGGCCATGACGTGTGGCTAACGCTGCCATCCGACGACCCTCCGCTGACCCCAGTGTTTTCCTGCGACAACGTGTTCTCCAGAAGAGACGGTTTGTTACCGAGTCTGGACTCCGAATCGTCTGCCATTGACGACCCCTCAGCACCTCCGAGTTCAAGGGGCAACAAACTACAAGACAAAAGAAAAAAACAAAGTTGGTTCTGATTTATTACAATAGACATCAGTGATAAACAGGTCGATGATTCTACCTGCCTCGTTTTCAAACACTTGTGTTTTACTAATAATCTTTGTTAGAATTTCAGCGTTTGTAGTTATGTTTCTTTTTCTTGGATTTGTTCTGCTGAAATATTTGAGTTTCAAAAGAGTAAAAGAAAGTCAAAGCAAAGGAATGAGAAAAAAATAGAAAGTGAACAATGAACAAGGGAAAAAAAGTGAATGAAAAAAAAAAAACGAGCAAAAGAACAAAAGAGTAGTAGCTAGAGTGAAAGAAATAGCAAGAGTTAAAAAGAGAGCAAACAAGCTGAAGGAACGAACAAAAGAACCAAACAAGCAAAAGAAAATCAGAAAGAGAAAAATAAAAAGAAAGGAAGAGCAAAAGAGTGAATGAGCAAACAGGCTCCTGAATCAATGAGTGCTGCCTGGTTATTTGTACCCGTTGTTGGTGGCGGAGCGCGGCGACGTCAGGAGGTGCAGGGCACATGCAGCGGAGGCCATGCTGTCTGCCTGCAGTGCAGGAAGCTGCAGGGCTTCCAGGCCGTGGCTGCGCTGCAGCTGCAGCGTCTGCGTCGCGATCTCTGGCATGTCCTGCGACATCACGGTGGAGGCAGAGGAGATGACGTCTGGGGAGCGGGCCCTGGTCGGCGAAGCCAGCAGCGGCAGCAGGGGAGAATCTGGGACCTGAGGTGAGTCGAGGCCCAGAGGGCTGCTGGGGCAAGCCAGAGCCTGGAGGAAAATACAGAAAACAGCTGTTTATCCTGATGATCAGTAAGTTCAAAACAAAGCATCTCTTAAATAAATTACATTCTGTAAAATTATAAATAAATATAAATATCCCATTAAGCACCTTTTGCAATCCAAAAGGTGCAAAAGATAATAAAAAATAATCACCTGAGCTTTTCACATGTTGCTATCAGAAGTGCTTTTAAGCTGCAGATGCATTTATTGGTACAAGTGGTCAAGCATTCACTAAAGGAACGCTGCTATTGCATTTTAGGCAACAAAATATTTGTTTTCCTACTTAAAAAGTGAATGATTTAGCATTTTTATATAGTTTTAAATTTTATAAAATAAGCTGAAGTGGTTAATCCCACTAATCGTCAAAATGATCAATAACTAAAATAATTGCTAGTTGCAGTCGTTTGTGTTTTGCAGCTCAAGATCATTTTACTTTTATATTACTTTGCAAATACAGATTGATGAATTACCAAAAGCTTCAAAGAGATTGAAGACATGGAACTTTTCTGTAACTAACAGCAATTTTAGTAATTGATTATTCCAGCATGTTGTTAATCATCTCTTAGTGATTTACAGCATAAATCGGCTAAACAATTTAACACATTGTCCAGATTTTTAATTTAACAACTTAAGGTTTTTGTATAATATTAAAAATACATTAAAATATGCATTTTAGCAATTAATAAAATTAATTTTTAAATGAGAGAATGAATATGTTATTGTCTAAAATGTAGTAACAGCAATTTCTTTGTGAAATTGAACTGAGTTTTCATTTTTGTAACAAAGGTCTTTTTTACATTTTAATAAAACATCCATAACAGGAATTTTATCGATTAGGAAGTGAAATTTGAGAAGCAGTCAGAACTCGGCATTATGTCTTACCTGCAGGTTCTCCAGGCCCGTCAGCAGAACTGCAGGTGCAACCCTCGGACTGCTGGTGGCGACAGAGAGTCCCAAACTGCTGCCGCCATTGTTTTCTCCTCTGATAGGACTCTGACTGACATCGTCCATGGCTCTGCAGAAACAAATCACCAGAAATTATATGGAGGAAGTGCTCTCTGTGATAAATGTCAATAATATTCACAGAGATGCTCACCTATTTGTTGAGTCAGAGTTACTGCTGATGGCTGTAACAATAGTCAGACTGCTGGCGCTGCTGCCAGGAGACGCAGGAACCTATCGAGTCACAAAATGTTTATAATTCTGTCAAAAATATGCAGAGTTACAAAAAATTATAAATAACCAGAGATGGATAGAAAACCTAAAAATTTTACTCAAGAGTATCACTAATTCAACATATTTTTACTCAAGTAAAAGTAAAATGTAGCTGTCCAAGAAATTACTTGAGAAATAGTAAAAAAAAAGTACTTGGAGAAAAGTGTATTCAAGCACTGAGTAACTAATCATAACATAAATTAATTCATATGTAAAAATTAAGAGTAAAAAGAAAACATCTAATTTAGTGGCAGTACTTCATAATTTGATTACTCAAGTAAAAGTAACAACGTGGTAAAAAATGTTGCTCCCCAACTCTGCAAATGATGTCCTAAAAGTTTGGAGTTACAATCAGTACCGAAGTGCTTGGTGTCATGAAGGCGTCGGGGGTCATCAGCTTGGGCATCGGCCCACCGGATGGTCCAGAGTTAGACAGGAAGTCAGAGGGTACAGGAAGTGAGGGGATCTTCCGAAGGTCGGACTGCGAACCGCTTCTAGAGTCTTTGTCGGAGCTCTGGTCGGTGAGGTGGTCTGAAAACCCAGCTGGGAAAAACGAGCACGAAGCAGAATTAAAGACAGAAAACAATCTGGACTGATATCATTCTCATAACAGATATTTACCACTTAAGTTTAGCATCCTGAATTAATTAATTGTGAAGATCTTAATGCATCAACATTTTTTTAAAAATACAATCAGATTTTCTTTTGTGTGTTTCTGGTTGAAAATGTGACGCACATGCTACATCTCCTAATAGCGGTTTCTCTCGGTCCAACAGGGTTCATTTTTGTCTCAAAAACTGATTTGATTGGATGCTGAAAAGGACTGTAGTTATGTTCAAGTTGTGCTAAAAGGAGTTAGCCTATCTGCAAAGCTATTCAAGCCTAAAATAGCATCTCAATGCCAAGCATGTAGCAGCTAAAGCTATAAGTGTCAGCGCCACAGTCCAGATTTCTAAAGAAGCTCCATGAATCATCAGGAGTTCTTGAAACATTTGAAAGTACTTTGCTCCAATCTGATTGCTGAAGAACCTAAATGACAGATTAAAAACAAAAATATCAAAATGTTGATTATTTTGTTGATATGTGATTTTCAATTAAAAAGCAATTGATTAACTCAATTAAAACACCATTAAATTATTGAGCGTTGTAATCGGCTAGGGAAGTATATGTATATATATATGAATACAATATATGCGATAGTGGGAACTGTCGCATATAGTTAATATATAGTTTCAGTTAACAGAAATAAGATTTCTGTGAATCCCTGACAAATCAATAATGATGCTAATGCCGATGTATCATGTATCTCTGCGAAGCAGCCCTGAACAGAAAGTGAAACAACCTTATATAAACATGAGGCTCTACTCTGTTTGCACTGGCAGGGTTCCAACAGTGAGAAGATTACTCAATAAAAAAAACAAAAAAAAAAACACACATAGCTCAGTCGACCGGAAAGCTTCCATATTACTGCTTCTTTAATGCCTTTCTATCCGTCTGTCCCTCCGTCATGTCTTTCTGCCTCTTCTTATTATATTAACTGGTACTGATGTGTCCATGAATCAGCAAACTTAACCTAATTTAATTGCACAGTTCAACATTGACTTACCAAAACCATCTTGGGAGTCAGAGTGGGGAAGAAAACCTGACGTATTGAACCCTGCGTTGGGCTGAAACCAGATCTGGACATCCTGCAAACTCCTGAAAGACAAACATGGAGACAAACACATTCAGGGAAATGTTGATTTAAACCTTTTTTTACTCCAAAACTACAAAGATTAATCTTTGCAAACAAATAAACACTAAAATAACAATTTTTGCAGTGACTCTGCTGATTGATTTTACATAAATAACTGTAGTCACTGTTCTGGATTGAAAAAGTTAATAGTTTTCAAGCATTTTACTGTTTTTGATAAATGAATAGTTACATTTATCAACTTTAATGTCATTTAAAAATTAGAGTTTATTCTTTTACCATCAGGTTAGCCGCATCCTGACAAACAGTAGAAGAAAACTTACTTTGTGTGAACACAGTAGAGTTTAATTTGGATCCCAGATTTGGACTCTGCAGGTCCTTGAGTGCCCTCTAGTGGAGAAAGCAAGAAAAGCTGGTTAAATCACAGCCTATGAATGTTTGTATTTAATTTTTCTGATTTTATTCCACATTTTCTGGTCAAAACATTGACCATTAAGTGATGCTAATTCCCACCTGCAGGTGGCAGTATTTTTACTACACCGAGTCCTCTTCCTTACCTAATGTGAAGTTAACTGTGAGCAACTTAGTGCTAAAAATTTAGTTAAAGAACAAAAGTGCTTGTTTTTCCATAAATCTTTTTTGTTCTATGTGTAGATTCTGAACAGGGTTTAAGGAGGAAAAAGCCCAGCAAAATGTCTTGCAAATATTTCTAAAGTATGAAATAATGAAACATTTTTGGAGCAATAAAAACACAGTTTCAATCACTTTTATTGAAAATCATGTGGCCAAGTTTAAGACATTTATTAAAAGCAGATCGGGATGCATCAAATCTATATGCTGGATTTACATGTTGCCAACATTTTCTATGGTAAATCTTTTGTTGGTCTTTAATAATTTTGCACTGGTTTAGCGTAAAAATAAAAAATCTCCAACTGCATCAACTACTTGTGGTGAAGGGGAGAAATGTGTCTTGTCTTGAATTGTAATAAGCAATAAATCAATTCATCGTGATACATTAAAATTAGCTCAATAATTTCCACTTGCATGATTTATTGTTTTTCTCTTTCTATCAAAACTGCATGATAAAGTTTTCAGTCTGGAGGTTTAGTCTCAACAAGCCCTTTTTCTAGAGGATAATTTTGTTTAAAGAGACTTTATAATTAATTTTATTTGTTGTTTCTGCTATTTTATTTATTTTGGATATTCAAAATGTCTTCCAGTTCCAATGTTAATTATTCAATAGAAATTAAAGTTTAATGATCTTTGAGTGTGTTTATGAATTATTATGCCTTTAGCATAATATTACTTGAAAATTGTCTGAAAACAACAATATTATCGTTTATCGCAATAACTTTTACGGTTGCACAAAATCAGTCAACCTGCCACAAATGGCCCCCAAGTCGCACTTTGAATATCTCTGTTCTAAAGTAAATCTAAATAACATAAAGAAGCCAATGTGTTTGTTTCTTTTTTATCTGAGAATCTTTCCAAATCAGATTTACTGGAATAAATGCCTTCAGGTGTGGATGTGGAAAGCTCCCACCTGTCGACATGCTCTCGCTCTCCTCCTCCGCTGGCAGAACCTCGGTGTGCCTCAGGCGGCTGTGGGTCACGTCACGCACCCCGAAGCTGAGCACAGGGTGGGTCAGAAGGAACTCCGACACGGCCGTGAAGCTCGCTTTGCCCTTCTCCAGGTCCTGCCGCAGCTCCATCACATAGAGGACCTGAAGGAGGACGACATGAATTCACTGTCAGGCGCCCATCGCACCACATCTGTATCTGATCTGGTGAAAAACTCCAGATCGGGTTGTAACTCGTTACATTTACTGGAGAAACTTTTTTGGGGAAAACTGTTGAAATTTGTTTATTTTTTGTTACTTATTTGAATTATTATAACTTCTTTATTCTTCAATGACAATTATAAAGTTAAGTAGAAATTAATTTTATAATTCCATAACTTCCACTTAATTTCCACTGGAGAGTTAATTTCAGCTTAACTTTTATAATCTGGTCAGTCTGGAGATGTAATTTTTCAATATCAAATGATTGATAATTTGATCAGTTACTCAGTACTTTTTACCAAATACTTTTTTACTCTTACTTGAGTAATTTCTTGAATTGATACTTTTTGCTTTTACTTGAATAAAAATATGTTAAAGTAGTGCTACTTTGATGAGTAAAATTTTTGGGTACTCTGCCCAATTCTGGCAACAATGTTCCCAATATATGACAGCAGAGCTATTCAGTCTAATTCTATGCTTTGTGCTCAGAGCATCGTCTTGCTTATTATTTATTTTACATTTGCTAGCTGCACTGATGATTAATCGATTACTAAATTAGATTATCTCAATCGATTGATCACGATTAACATTTTCAGCCCTGCTTTCAACATTACACTTACCTTTCTTTGAACATCAGTGAGGATCAAGTATTCAGCAGCGAGATCTAAACTGGCCTTGAGACTGGGAAGAACCATAGAGTTGAATGGATCTGGAGAAAACCTAGAAGAAGAAGAATGGATAGCATCTGTATAATAGAAGAAAAATGTAAGCTTTGCACGTTGTATGTTTTGCTTTTAGGAGCTGCACTTGGCCTGTCATGAAACAAAATTCGTTGGATGATAAATTGTCCCAGAAGTTATTATAAACTATAATATTGTTGTTTTGAGACCACTATAAAGTAATGTAACTTTAAGAATGTGTTTAAGAGCAAATTCTTAAAAATCAATAAAGTTTCAAATTAAATGAACATTTAATACAGAAACTAGAAGACATTATATAAATAAAACAAGAGTAACAACAAATAAAATGAATTATGAAGTCTGTAAACAAAACTGTCCTTCAAAAAAAGGAGCTAGTTGAGCCAAAAGCACCAGACTGAAGACTTTTATCATCCAGGTTTTTTGGTAGAAAGAGGAAAACCATAAATCAAGCAAATGGAAATTATGGAGCTCATTTCAATTTATCTTACCATTAATTGATTAAATATTGTGTAAGTAGGAAAAACATCTATTATTTAAGTTACTTTATGGTCTGCAAGCAGGTCCAGGAAACTGTGCACCACAGCTTCAACTCCTGGTTCTGGTCTGCTCCAGTTATCAGAAACCTCCAGAATGGAACCCTTCAAAAAAAAAAAAACATCCGTGAAACTCCGGACAGAAACTCAGAGGAGCGTCAACATTTCAGCGAACTGACTCTGGATCCTGCCGTTTGTGGTTGTCACAGAAGAGAAGACAGGAGAGCGGACGTCCTTCGTGAGGTCGGAGTTCATGGAGACATCTGGACATCAGAGCGGGAGCAGAAATGTAAACTGGATCAGCAGCAAAATGTTGCTGATGATCAGCGGTTAACTACCTCGCTCCTACCTGGGCTTATCTTGTCCTCCTTCTATGTAGATCTGCCAGAACTTGATGTAACCATCGTGACTCGCTGTAGCCAAAACGGTCCCATCAGGGGACAGAGCTCCTTCACTGACTCTCTGCACACAGTTTCATACTTTAACAGCAAACAAAAAGCAAAAAAACAAAGACTTTTCCCAAATAAAGACATCTTAAAAGGTGTATTTGTATTTTAAATATTTTGTGTTCTATGTATGTTGTTTTTGTGCTGTGACTTCTTGTGAAATATAAAATCCAGATACCTGTGTGTGTCCTTTGACTATAATGAGGCCATCTTTGATTTCTGAGGCATCAACTGGCCAACTGCTGTTATTGGCTCTCAAAACTTCAAGGTCCCAAACCTCAGCCTGGAAAAGGGAAAGTTCACATAAACAAAGGAAAATGGAGAAATCTGAAGCAAGATGTTTATTTTCTACTAACATCAATGCAAACCTATGGAAGTCCATTTCTGCCACAAAAGAAACAATAAAAGCACAACAGGAAGTCACAATTACAAATGTTAAAATCATAACTTCAACTTTCAAACTCATAACTATGGGATATAAAGTCAGAATTATGAGATTTGAAGTTTGAGATATCAAGTCATAATTACAAAAAATAAGTCCTAATTTTTACCTATTTAGTCATAATTATGACAGAAATTCAAAATTATGGCTTTTTATCTCATAATTATGACATTGAGTCAAAATTATTTATCATAGAAATTACGATTTTGCACCTCAGAACTATGAATTAACATCTATATTTTATCATTTTTGCTTTGAATCTCATAATTTAGAATTTGAAAGTCAAAATTATGAATTGTTTTCTTGTAATTATGACTTTGTATCTCAAAATTATGACTCACCTTTTCATAATTTTGACTTTAGATAGAACATCAAATTTTTTATTTTTAAAATTGAAATTAGAACTTTTATTATTGTGGTCATTTCCAAACATATAATTATAACTTCCTATTGTACTTTTATTTTGTTTTTCCTTTATGGGAGTAAAGGACTTCCATACAAACTGCAAACCCTCAAGTTTGGCAGACTCTCTTTGTTAACCTTTTACAACTTTCATCCTGTTTTTAACTACTTTAATATTTAAATCAGAATTAACAGAATAGCTGCTGAAATGTCCTGGATATTTTCTGTGATTTTCTGATTCGGGTTCAGAGCCAGTTACCCCATCCTCATGCAGGAGAGCCAGCGTCTGGCTGGTGTCATCCTGGTTCTCCTCGCTGTCTTCCAGGATGTATGGGCACCAGATGAGGCGTCTGTGGGAGTTCAGAGGAGCGTCTTCTGAACGCTGAATATGAACCACTATCTGATCCCTGTTTGGGCCAGGTTATGGAAAACTCATGGGAAGGAAAACATCCGTCTCTGCTGTCACAGAGTGCAAGATCTTAATCTTAAAGATTATTTAGTGTTATTTAGGAAACATTAAACAAAAGTAGATATCTGGCATTTGATACATAGAGGTATCAAATGCAAAATAAAAACTGAAAATAAGAAAACATTTTTTATTAATTGAAATAAATAAAAACGCTAATTAATGGGGAAAAACTATAACAAACAGAAACTATTTTGTGAGTTTATAAAACCAACTAAAACATACTGAAATCACAGTTATAATACCCTGTGTTTTTCTGTTTGTGAATTTATTAGCTTTTCGAACTGATGTGAAATTATTTTTTTTCACCACACAAGCAGTTTACGTCATCTATCGCCAAATTACAGCGTCCTTAATAATCCTGGAGGCGATTACGTTAGTCTGGGAAATGGCGAGAGTTGTGATAAAATGCCTGAGTCAGTTGGTTGTTCAACAATAACTGAATACATTTTTTGAAAATGGCATCTTCAAAAATACACACAGCAAAAACACAACCTTTCCAAATACTTTTGGTTCAGTTTCTAGAGCAAGTATATTAGTACACCTGAAATAAGATAAACAAAATTACAAAAAGCTTTTCAGCAAAATATAGCAGCTTGTTTTAAGTCAGCAATTTTTATAAAATTGTAGAAAAGGTACTTGTTTCATTGGCAGTCAATTTCACTTATAGCAAGACATTTTTCCAAAGTTATAAGTGAAATACCTGACAGTTAAAATAGTACTTTTTCAACATTAAGGAAATATTTACTTAAAACAGGCTACTATATTTTGCTGAAAAGTAATAAAAAAAATTGTTTTGTCTTATTTTAAGTGCAGCAAGATATTTGCACTGTACAGTCTAGACCAAAGTTACTCTGTGAGATTTTGCAGTGCAGCAGTTTGACCTTTTTGAATTCTGCATCTAGAAATTAACCAAAGTATGAAAAAGAAATAAAATTACAACCATAACTAATAAAGACTGAACTAAAACGAAACAATATTTACCTAATAAAATCTACCAAACTGAATTAGACAGACAAAAAGTCACAACAAAATAAAACTAAACTATAATGAAAACCCCAAAACATAGTGTTTTTCTGCTGCTTCCTATCAGGATACAGTATTTTGCTTCTGGTGAGCGTGAGATGCCAGACCATCAGGTTTCCCGCCTCATCCACGCAGCCCAACAGAGAGGAGTCGAGGTGGGCGAAAGCAAGATCTGTGACGGCGCCGGTGAAGCCCTTCAGCAAGGAGCGCTCGCTGAAGTCCAAACTCAGCACACGAATCATAGCATGGTTGTTGGCTCCTGAAAAAGGAAAGGAAAAATCAACCAAAGAATCTGAATCCATGGAGGGAAAAATAGCTGCTCAATTCTTCATATCAAGTTGGGATGTTGTGAAAGACACAAATCAAAACAGAATATGATCATTTGCAAATCCTTTTGCATCTAGATTAGATTGAATTCACTACAATTATGGTGTTGAAATGGTTTTTACAAATATTGACTCGTGTGCTTCTAGTTAAAATTGTCAAATGCTCCAAACAAATTTGTTTTTTTAACGTTTTTGCAGGCATATGAGCTATATGTGCAAAAAAAAAAAAGATTTTTTTTTCTTTTGAACATTACATATATTGTCTTTGTAGTGAATTTAATTGAACATAGGTTGAAAAGGATTTGCAGATTATCTTATTCAGATATTATTTTTGCTTTACACAAATGTCCAAAGGAGAATCTGCCAACAACACTCATCTGTAGTTTCTGCTTCCAGTGGTAAATAAAATGTGCCTGACATTTTATCTTTTTATTAATCAAAGCAAATTAGTAAAATGTTTCTTCTCTCACCTCTGATGGCATAAGCGAGGAAGGAGTTGGACACGGCTATCAGTCGGCCGTAATAATACTTATGCTCCCAGTCGTACTTGGCGACAGGTTGAATTTTAACCTGAATGAAGAGTTTAATCAGATTTAAAAAAGCAAGAAAATAAGAATAATCATAACTCAAAAATATTCTTAGCTTTTCATCGGGACAAAATGAGAATGATCTCAATGGTAAAGACTCATGAGAGAGCAGGATTTAATGTGGTTCTGATCCAAACTCACCTTGTTGCTGCCCCGCGCCTTGCTGTTGATGCTTGAGTCCTGGCTCGCCACGATCTCCACATTGTTTAAGACGATGGGGATGCAGGTGCTCCCATCATCACCAGTCAGGCAGCTAGAAAAAAACAGAGAATATCCATCTAGTTTGACTGACAGCTTCTGTGTCTTCATATAAATGGAGACAAAATGGCTGCCATCGAGATGAAGAGGAGCCACTCACATCCTCTGGCTCTCCTGGACGCTGCCGTCTGTGGAAATGGGTCTGGTGGATTCAGATATGCTGCTCCCCAGTAGTCCTGCTCCCAGTAAACCGTTCAGCTCTCCGTTGAAGGACAGTTTTCTCTGATCGTCACTTGATTGCATATCTGAGAAATACGATTAAGAGCTATGTTTACTTCAGGAGGAGCAGGGAAAGCAGTAAACCAACCTTTTTCTAGAAGTTTCTAGCTGGGGAAACTCCGTTGGTACAGAAGAAACATCAACTCTTCAAATATTTCTGCTTACTTTCATTCACTGGTCCATAATTATTACATTCATTAAGCATAAGGTGCCTCATACTTAGGCCTGCTGCAATAAACAATAAATAAATGAATCACATGATCAATTAAAATTAGCCCATTAATTTTCATTTGCACGATTTAGTATTTTTTTTTCTCTCTCTTTTCACAAAATATGGACTTCAGTCTTTGGTCTCAACTAGTCCTCATTGAAAGATCAATTGTATTTACATGGACTTCAAAATCCATTTTATTTGTGGTTTTTGTTGTTTTACTTATGTTTAGATATTTAAAATGTCTTCCAGTTCCAATGTTAAATGTTTGATCAAATTTAAAGATTATTGATCTTTCATAATGCGTTCTTGCAATATTATGCCATTACTATGACTATGTTATTCTGAAAATCCATCTGACGTGAAGTACAACAAACAACAGAAACATCAGGCTAGTAGTCACTAATGATGAAACAACACAAATTCAAATCAGTTTAGAACTGCGGATAGTGATCGGATCATTTTGACACTTCATCAATTTCAACTCAGATCCTGAAGCCTGGTTGACACGTTGAACTGAGCACACAGCAACATCTTTTTCTTTCATTTTGCCACTCGATGAAGCTCCATTCATTTTAACTTAGCCTGTAGAAAAGCTCTAGCTAGTTTGCCATCTGTTGCCAAGTGACTGATGATGACGTTGGTGGACGGCTGGTGACAACCTTTACCCTGAATACACTTGGAGACAATTTGGACGATCTACTTGTAATTTTGTGTTTCATAAAGTTAAATGTAAGAGTGAAAATAAAGCCAGTCATATAGCACATTTTTCACCCACTATGTCACTAAAATGAGTCGGTCTTTTAAAGTTTTTAGCAACCACTTGTGCCCCTAAATAGTAGGGGCACAAGTAGGCTGCCCCTACTATATAGGGGCACTAATACTATATAGTATTTTATTTGTGTTTTTCATAACATCCCAACTTGATATGAAGAGTTGAGCAGCTATTTTTCCCTCCATGGATTCAGCCTCCTGGGGCATCTCCTGGGGCATTACTCTATATATTCCTACATAGGCCATACTCAACAGGAGCAGGCTCACTTTTTACAGCTCTCATCAGACGTGATAAAGGCTTGAATCCCTGAAGTCATATCCTGTGAGCTGCTGGTAACTATAATTTCCTGAGGGAGTCTTCCCAAGGGATCAATAAAGTCAAGTCTAAGTCTCTAAGTCTGACTCCCGGGTCCCTGGAGCCCCGCCAGTGTATATAGTATTTTTATATATGTATATTCATATACATGTGTGTATGCTTGTGTGTTTATGTCTTATGAGAGCGCAGTTGCAAAACGTGAAAAAAGTTAGACAAGTCGCTTAAACAAGTTGTTTGGGCTTTCACGGTGTCCGTAGTTGTCTCGATAAGGGCACGCAAGTATTTTGCGGTGCGGAGCGGCGAGGAGACTGGGGGAACCGAATCTGATGGGGGGAACCGAATCTGATGAAGGAACGCAAATCGACGTAACATGTTGGCCAGGTTTTCGTTAGGCAAAGAACGGCATAGCTCTTCATGTCTGCAGAAACACTCAGCCTCAGAAGTAACAAATCCACTTTATGATCCAGTGAACGGACATTGAACAGAAAGAGAGTCAGCTGGGTCAACGCGGCCGCCCACTCCCCCCTCTTCTCTTCTCGGGCACAACGTTTCCGTTTGACCGTTGCTTCTCGTTACTGAAGTTTATGTCATAATAACTGCTAAAAGAAATTCACCACAATCCTCTTTTCTGATTTAAAAAAACTATGTAATATTTATCGAGTCTCCACAGTTCTTATGAGATTTTTGAAGCGGTGTCCTACACGGCGGGCCTTTTTCTGGTTCGGTCGTTTCTTGCTAGCTGCTGCAGCTTGAGGAGCAAAGCGATTGGATCAATTTGACTGGCAGCCAATCACGAACGAGAGCATGACAAAGAACATTTTACGGAGCAACTATTTTGAGAAGGTCAAATTTGATTGTTAAATGATCATTTCAGCAAGAAATGTAAAAGTTCAAAAAGAAAAAAACTAACAAAAATTACAACTGATTCCACCATCAGTTGTGATGCATGTCTTATTAAATGAGTACAATACTAGCATTAACACAGAAATACCGGATTTTTCTATAAACATTTCAAACACAATTATTCTTCAATCGGCGTTACTGACCTTGTTTCTTTATCGAGTGAAGTTAAAACTGAGTTGCTTTTTTATGCTTTCTTCTGTTTATTGCGGTTAGCCTGTTCCAAGTAGAACTGCTTCCGTTACCATAGCTACCTTAACAAGGAAGTTGACAAAATAAAAGCATTTAACCTTAACGGAACTCGGCCTCTACTGTTTAATGACTTATTGTAACTTATACATTAAAATAATGTTTTGGGAAAAAAGACTAGATTTTGTATTTTTAAAAAATTATGTTTTAAAAATATTGGATTTATTACTATTTTTTGTTGTTTTTGCATTAACTCGTATCCCCTCCAACTTTCTGAGCCCCCCACTTTAAAAAATACAGCTGTTACATTCAAATACATCTAATAAATTTAGAATACAATGAAAGTTAAATATTGGAAACATATGGTGTCACACCTTAATCAGCTAATTAATTCGAAACACCTGCAGAGGTCTTCTGAACCTCTACTGCTATGTTCCTACTGCGTATGTAAGCTCAACTCAGATCATTTTCCAGACAGATTTATAGGTTTAAAAAAATCACGTTGGTGCATTTCTACTAATCCACATGCATTCCTTTTTACATAATTGAGAAACTCTAAAAATGAGTGGACATGTTGAGAATTTCCATTATTATGCACTTTTATTTACTGAACTTTTCCAGCCAATCAAGAAACTGAATGACGCAAATTATCCAAGAATTCGAGTTTACCATAATTACGTTTTTAACATATTTCAAAGGGGATTAAATGAGTTTAAACAAAAAATATAGCTCGAACAAAAATAATAATAATGGGAGAAAAACTCGAGTATTTAAATGTTTTGGCAGCAGGGACACATTTCGACCAGAAAACAGACTGAGACACAAGCTAGGTGCTAACAGGCCGAAGCAAAATCTATTCTCAACAGATTTAAAATGTACAAAATAATATATTCACTGCTATTAAAAATATTCCCTCCACTGAGATATTACGCCAGTCGCCGAAGAAACGCCCGCTGGGTAAACTGTGCCCCGGTAAACAGTGAGGTCTAACCCCGGGTTAGCCTGTGCGGCCTAGCCGAGCAGCGTCCCCCACTTACCGGCGCTGCTCCCCGGACGGTCGAGCTTCAGGATGTCCCGGAGGTGCTGGGTCGCTCCCTCGATGTCTATGTTAGAATTGGACGCCATGGGTGAGGGGAAATGGGGGGGATTTGGGAAAACACTGAGGGAAAAATATTGTTATAATTCGATGCGGGTCGCAGTTCACCCAGAGCAACCGTTCAAACTTCCGTTCTGTCCGTGCCTTCCGTTCCGACTATTCACACAGTCTCCGCTCATTGGTTCCTACCTGAAAGTCGTCTCAGGCTAACTCACGAGGATAGCGCCATCTACTGTACAGTCATGTTTAAAACATCTTGGTTTTCAGGGGACATTCTGGTAAACAATTCATATTTCATTTGTGTCTTCAGTTTCAAGACTATTTATGCACGTTTGTACTCCCCTTGTGTACGATTTGTGTAACTTTAACAGAAAAGAACCCACTGCCAAGATTTGTAAACCCACAGCTACATGCTGTGGGTTTGAGATATGCAGAAGTTTTGCTTCCTATAGACTCAGTAGTTCCCCTGATGACACAAAACATTAAATTAAGGTGTTTCTTTTCCAGCGGTTATGCAGTGACTATAGTCCTTAATGCTCCTCCAGAGGTTACCTCATATTTTGAGGTAATAATCGGACCCTTTGTCTCTTTCTTCATTCCTACAATTCAGGGCTTAAAGTTAAAAAGACAAAGTCAAGTTACTGCTTTTTTATCTGGTATAGCACATAAAATAATTCAATGTTGCCCCTCCCCCATTCGCTGAAAAAAATAAGACCTCTGCACTTTTCTATTTAGATTTCAAAACTACTTTATTCAGTTCCAAAAGAGGAAACTCATATTTAAAGAGGCTTAGTTGTTTTGCATTTCTATAGAAATGTTATTGCCTGATTTGAACAATAATAATATAATCTAATAATATAATCTTAGGGTGATTAAATGGGCCAGACTTTAAAGTTATTAAAAAGGCAAATTTTGTGGAATCTTTAAACTTTTTTAAATATTTTTATTGCTTTATACATTTTCCCCATATCTGGAAAATTAGGATTAATAGTTTGGGATTTAAATTTCTATAAATAACACTAAAATAGTTTAAAATTAAGTTATAGCAATTTTGGGTAAGTTGGAGCTAATGCTTAGGAACATATTTAACCCAACATGCAATAATTCATACCTGCTCAGTAGAATAACTTATATTTTAATTTGCCTTAGTAGAATCTTTCTGCACCAAAATTGACTCCAGGCCCCAGTAAACCCACCCCTGGATTTTGAATATAAAATTTGTATTCCTACCAGGATCAGTAGATAAATCTTTATTTGGTTATTAACCTCTTTAACGTTCATTAAAAAGGTGTAAATTAACTTGACCATTTGAAGCCAATCAGGGGAAAATCAGGTGATTTCTTGGTGCATTTTACTGATAACCATGTAAATAAAAGTCATTTTTGAATTTATATGCTTTGAATCGTTTTTATATTTTTTACTTGACGTAATCATAATCATATAACATTTCAGTGACCACACTGCTACGACAGCTGAAGCAAAACCTCTGGAGGTTGGAAGTCTTTATTGGCCACATCTGGGCCAAAAAAAGTGCCTGAAGCCAAACAAATAAACAAGCAAAAGAAAAAAAAAAAAAAAACTTCAGTACATCGGCTCTTCAAATGATTTCTCTGGTGAGAAAACCTGTTCAGAAAATGACACGGAGAGACCACATAGTTAAGAAAAAATGTCCAGGTTTTATTGTTTATCGTGGCTGTAGTCCTTGTCGACTCCCAGATGTTGAGTGAAAGAGAAGAAGAAAGAAAACAAGAAAAACGCTCGTCCTCCAACATCCTTTGGTCTGCAACAGCTAAACCTGGCAGCATAAATCACGCTTAGAGGGGCAGAAACTAAACTTGACTCACTAAGAAGAGCTAAGGTGAACACATGAATGGGGCGTCTCAAATCAAACCGGAACACGGATCTACAGAACCGAGTCGACGGCAGAGCAGAACGGGTTAGAATCAAAGCAGAGCATGAGTTAATGGCATCGATCGGATGTTTGTCCTTCTAGTGGCTTGAGTGTAGATACTGAGGATCTCCCAGCGTCATGCAGATCGGCGGAGCGGCAGACAGGGGCATCTGATTGGTCGGCCGGCTCTCAGCGAAGAGGCGTGTCGCAGTTCAGCTGGGCTGGAGGAGAGGAAACCCACCTGGATGCGGGTCGGTGATTGACATCTAGGGTCCGGCGTTTTTGCTCGTTCGTCAAGCGGGCCTGAATGAGACGGAGAGAGGGAGGAGTCTTCCTCCGTCTCAGGCGGCTGCCCCTGCCCGCCGGCACAGAGAGGCGGCCTAGCCAAAGTTGTGGATGGCCAGCCTGAACATGTCATTGGTGCACACCCAAGCATCGTTAATGTTCTTCAGGATGAAACTCTGATGGAAACCCATGATGGGGTCTTCATCCGCCTGCAGAGAGACACCGACACTGAGTCACATCATTGACAAATACAAACAACACCGCTAAGCCTGTCGCAATGAATCGATTAATTGTATGCTAAATTAAAACAAGCTCACTAAGGCAACCTGATGTGACCCAAATCAGATTTTTTTTGCCTTGATGTGACATGTACCTGATCTTTTCAAACGTGACCTGAATCTGTATGGCCAGGTCACTTCCATCTGACCTGAACGTCATTGATACCCGACAAACGTCTCTATTCTGCGGCCTGACACGCAGAAAAAGGAAAAACAACAACCGTGACGGTTTATAACGAGGCTTAAGTTGTTAATGTGCTTCAAAATCGCAAGATACGCTCCACAATTAGCATATATGTTAACTTCTGCAAACACTGAGCACTTCTTTTTTATGGCAGATGGCAAAACAATGTCTGACGGTATTGCGCCCTCTACTGCACATGCGGGACACTTCAGGGCGTTTGCAGTTCTCACAGGAGGTCACATACATGTAGCATGTATTTGGAACCATGAACAGCCATGAAAAAAAGACAAACAAAATTATTTCAACATCCACTTCTCCAGACCTTTGAAAGATCTTCAGAGACTCTGGAAAACTACTAATGAAGTTGAAGAAAAATAAGAAATACAGATGAGAGGTACAGTTACCTTTAGCTGTCCTACGACCATACTCAAGATGCAGTTGTCTGGAGTTGGCTGGTGGTCCTGCGCTGTTATACTATGCGCTATTTTTGTGAAGGGGAGACTCTGGGAACACGATAAAACAGAAATGTCTGAAAATTCAACCCAGCTGTTTATATATAACAATAACCTTTAACTAAATGACACAAGGTGTAGAGAATTCCTCAAATAATCGGTAAAAAAAAGATTAATACACCAATTACTGAATTAGTTTATGCCTGAATATTGCAGAATTACAAACTTACATGAAAATGTCAGAATATACACAGAAATATAAAGGATAACGCTGTTTAGGACTGATTGTTAAAAAACAGAGGTGATTTTCAGGCAGTCACAATTTTTATTAAAAAATTGTATTTTTTTTATTTGTTTTTTAGATGTTGGCAGTTTGATATGAGACTGAAACAAAGATCAATCTGAAGAAATGCAACGCTCCCAATCAAAGACGACCAATCAGAGCTGGGAAGAAAGGCTTAGCGCTGTCAATCAATCCCATGTAATTGCTGCCAAACATTCCAGTGGCAGAAAAACAACTTAATGTTACAGAAAAACTGTTTAACCACTATCATAAGCAGCTATGTTAACCAGCTTTAGCATCCATGGCAGCCTCCGAATGAGTGGAGTGTACACAAGTGTGATTGGCAGCGCTCCTGGGTCTGATTGGTTGTATCTAGTTAGCACTGGAAGAAGGGAGAGGAGCTTTTTTTTTCACAGATTATCCGCTTCATACCGTACTGTCATGACATAGTGACTGTTTCAACAACTATGTAAAAAATACACCTCTCCAGGCAGGTGTTGCAGATTTGCAACAACTTAGCCAGAGTCTTTTCAAGTAATCTGAGCCTGAGAGGGTTAAGAAAAATGACATGCTGCATAGAGCTACTTTGACTGCATTTTGTCCAGTCAGAGCAAAATCTTACACAGTTCACTCCAGGCTTCCCCACATGAAATATTCTGAGGCCCTAAAATGAATGATTGTGTTTTTCAAAAATGCTTTGGATCCTTTAATGTTATGAAAAGGTGGATTTTCTTATTGACCTGCAGCATAAAATAAAAAGAGTCAAAGTTTCTTTAACCACAAGTTACCATGAAAACTCACAGTGAGCTTTTCAACAATTGCTATTTTTCCCTGGTAGGGCTGTCCTTCCCATGTAAGGCATGATGTATCAATCTGAGAGGAGAGGAGACGAACATTAACAGGAAAAAATCATTTGTCTTCATGAAAAACAGTCAATCCACACACAGAACCAGTCTGAGATTAATCAAATACAAAAGGTTGCAGCTCTATTGAAAGTGGTTTTACAAAAACTAAATGTTTACCTCGCTGCTGCTGAAATTAAATATTGTTTTGGTGTTTTTTCATATTATTTGGTTTCTGCCAATATTGCAATTGTCTCACTATTTCTACCAAACTTTTTTATTTTCTATTTCTCTACCTGTGATGTTGTGATTTTTATAACGAGGCTTAAGTTGTTAATGTGCTTAACTTAAGTTGTTAAGTTTGTTCAGCTGAGGTTGTTGTAAATCTTCTTCAAATATTTGCATAACTTTGACTTGAAAAGAAACCTTGGTAAACCCAAAATTTACTTTTCAAATGAGTAACACAAAAAAAGGCTTCCAAACCAATAACTGACTGGATGCTAACTGGTTTAAGTCAGTAGCTGCATTTGTTTGACCACATAGTTCCGCAATTTGACATTTCGAAAATAACTTTGTTCAGCGGAAACATGTAAAATTTGAGAAAAATTCAAATTTTTTGATCAAATGTTTTTGTGGTGTTTTGATAAGGTGTTCAATATTAAAGAGAATCTGAAAATGAAGGATGACAAGCAGAACCCAAGTTTGACTCACATATATTGATCCGAGCTGCGATCTGTCCGAATCGAACATCTGGTAGTAGTGCTGCACGAAGCTGGAGCCTATCTGCTCCCACAGAGGCTGCTCCGCCATCTTGAATCACCCTGCAACACACACTGGACAGGGGGGGGAAACATCAGGTCACACACACTGGTCAAATGAAAAAATTCTCTAAAGTGAACTGTTCAGTTCTGTTAAACCTTTTTTTGAAGACTCCGAGGTGATCAGTTTTTTTATTTTGCGGAAATGTAAAAGCTACAAACATCTGAACATCTCAGTGAGCCCAAGCCAGCAGCTGTTTCTTTGAGAAACGCCGCCAGCTATTGGGGAATAATATCAACAGATGTGTACAGGTGAGCAGATACACTGAACACTGTGCTTTAGATGTGCAGCTTTATGGACAAACTGTTAGCTCTGATTTCTTCTTTTTCTCAACTTTTGTTCTTATTAGACAATTATTTAATCTGGTTTTGGAAGTTAACTTTTTTTTTTTTACTTTAAGAGAGTCATGATGCGCAACCACGGCTACTAGGTTTTTGGGGGTTTTCTTTTAACAACTGGGAGCAGCCGATTAGCATTTCAAAAGCTCAAATAATAACCTGAACTCTGACCCCAAATCCCAAAGGAGGCACTGAGAAATAAACTATCAAAGAATACTCAAATCAGGACTGCTGAAATAAATGCAACAAAATATCAGAAATCCCAGAGGACAATTTTTTTCCATCTGCAGGAGAGCTACAGGACGACGAGCCGAAGCATCCAGCTAAAACATCACAGAGAGAGTTTGAAGACAATGAGGTAGAGGTTCTGGAGTGGCCTAGTCAAAGCCACCCCAGGATGAGGATGATTTTGAAATCACTTATTTTGTGTTACAGATTTGTATTTTCGTCATTATTTTGTAAAACTCTGTTTCATTGACAAGTGTTTTGTTGGTCAAAAAGCAAAATTTTAGTTATAATGACGGATTTATGAAAGCAACAAAAGGGTAAAACATCCAAGGGGTGAATACTTTTTATGTGCACTGTGTTATTTATTTGAAATGCTTAGAAACAGTAATAAACTTAAATAGTCCTGCTGACGTTCAAGTTCCTGAATGTCACAAAAACATGACAGGAATTTATCACAATTTTTAGAAATACTTTCATCACCGTATTATACAGCACAACAATAAAAGATGCTAAAATTGTTAATGTTGTTCTAAAAATTAAATATTGCAAATAATATTTGAATTACTGTCGTAAGCAAGATAATTTAATTCTAAAAATACAATTTACTCAGGCTGAGCTTAAGGAAGTTTACGGTTGAATAGAAAGTCCTCATTATGATGACAAGTTGTAATTTTTGTTTTTCATTACAGGAGATAAGATGACCCTTTAAAACAACTCTCATTTCCAAAAGCAATACCCTAATAGAATGTCCAGTTTCACCAAAAGAGAGACCTTGATGTATAGATGTATAGATAAAGTTTATATTCTCACTCTACATCAGTCACATTTTAGCTGAGTGAGCAGTTTTCCATGAGCGGGTTTGCTGGAGTCGCAGCATTCCTACAGCTTGGAGAAAATGACCAGATAATCTGATCAGGAAGTCCAGCTCTGACCTGGGATGAACCCATCAGCCTGGTGCAGGTGAGGAAACAGCAGAGAATAATTTTAATAAATCAGGATAAAATTACAACTTTTAAATTAAAATCTAATCACTTAAATTTTGGATGGAACATTTTAGATTTTTTTTTTTTACTATCATGGTAACTACGACCATATCCACTCATTGACTTAAGGCTCTAGACTTGGTGCAAAAAATTCTGCTTTTAAATGCTGTATTAAAACTTGTGTTTTCAAACAAAGACTGACCTAACAAACTAAATATTTTTTTCAGTTTTCTTCAATCAAGCCCAAAATAATAACGCAACTGGATACATTTTATTTTATTTAACAATCTAAAAACAATTTGAAGTTCTGGATCTATGATCCCGCGCCTACAAAAAAATATGATTATTTGTTTAAAATATGTCATGCTTAGTTTATTGTTGAGAAGGTAAAAAAAAAAACATTTTTGTCATTTTAGTTTTTTAAAAGTTATATTTTTTTGAATTGAGAGTGAGTTGATCAGATAAAGATAGACCACCAAAACACCAGCAGACATGAATAAACTTGTCAGCAATAATATGAAATGGTTGATTTATGTTGTGCCACAAACAATTTGACAATTATGTAGCATATCTAATGAAATGTACATACAAACTGATATTTCTTCCCAACAGCCATTTTACAGTTTGGAAACATATTGAAAGATGTGCGTTTCCATCTTTTCTCTCTAGCACTTTGATCCACTGTGGTTATTCTAGTTATTTAAAAATAAAGGTAGATTGGAAAATTACTTTTTTGTTTTCTTTTTACAGAAAACAGAAGCACATACCTCAATATTACACCCAAAACTGGAATTTGGGGCTTTAATGAGTAATTCTCAAAAATGAAAATACACATTTGTGAAACCAAAACCCTAAACTGACAGCACAGGTCACGTGTTCTCAGGGTTGTTGCTGGAACAATCTAAGCGCGCTAAAACATTAGCACAGGACCCGCCAGGACCCGCACACCGAGGGACAGAAACGCACCAAACCTGCACAGTTTGCGGTATTAAAGAGCAGAAGGTGAAACGATGCGGTGGTGCCGATCAATGGTAAAAGCTCCTCTTGTTTAGTCAGTTCACGTTAGCAAGTAGCCGCTGCTAGCTTGTGAGGAAACTTGTCTGTTGATTCAGACTTTCCCACCCACCAGCTCCTGTTAGCCGCTCGGGAAATAGTTTGTTCTAGGCGTTGGCTGACAGACTCACTGGGGTTGGTCTTCTCACCGCATGCTAAAAATACCCAGACCCTTCTAAAGTGCGGATACCTCCTGCGGGCCCGCGTTTATGACCCCCCGGACCAGCTACCCCACATAGGCGTGCCCGACGTTAGCCCCCTAAAACCAGATTATTAGCCGCTTTGACCGGTCGTAGTATCCTTATTTAATTCAAATACCTAAATAAAGTCATGTCTCTTTGTTTTCAAGTAGGTTTGTGCCCAGTACATAAAACAAATGACATAAACTTACCTCACTGTAACGCCGAGGCCGGCTGCACGATGGCACAGTGCAATGTCTCCTACGCTGCGAAGGCACGCAACCGAGGACGCAGCCGCCGCGGTGCAACGTGGTCGTTGTAGTCTATCTTCTTCGCACCCTTTGGCGCTCCTCAGGCGCTCACACTCAATGTGTTGTATTATCGCCATCTACTGGATCAAACGTTTATCAGAGATCTATGACAGGTTTCCCTTTTTGTTCTTCTGCTTCTTGTGATTTGACATTTTATTTTACTTGCATCCAAAAAATATTTGCAGTTGTAAATTTTATGCCCATTTTACTCACTGTTTTCTTAAACTCTCCTTTGTGATTTATGGGCAATAGATTCAATGAATATATTCTGTACCATTTCAAAATTGCAATAATCACAAAGTTCTGTTCCATGTTAAGCAGCTACTTTAAGTGATTTATTAAGACCTGTATGACCTATTCTGATACGTATTGATTCTAGTTTCTATGACAGATTTCTAATTATCTCTTATCTTTTTTTAATAAAAGAGGGAATATATTTTCTCTACATTTAACTATAGTTGACATATCTTTTCATTTTTATATTTCCTTCGTATTACAACCATATTTCCAACTTCTTCGAAACTTAAATGATTAAAGTCACCACTAACATGCTTCCAAAAGATAAACCCCACTCAAAACCATCTATGTATTTTATTAATCCTTTTTGGATAGTTTTGTCATCAAATCAACATGTTCTTTGGGTAATCAGATTAACATCAAATGTTGGGAAAAAAACTGGTGCATTAGTTGCTTCTATTTAATCTGTAAAGTGCTGCAAATAATTTTTAATTATAAAGTTCTTGGTAAAGCTGATGAAAACTATTAACTATACCTGCAGAGTTGAGTATAACTGAAACAATTTAGTACAAATTTATTCATGAACAAAAAGCAACAGAGTTTATTATAACATGTCAAGCAGAGAAAATACCTTCAATTAATAGCATGGAGAATCTTTTTCATTTCTGCAGAAAAGGGCTACACATATTTTGCTAATCCTGCATATGCACTGCTGTAAAAAAGTAGCTTAGAGATTTCATCTGTTTTTGACATTTTGTCACACTTTAATATTCCAAATCCTTGCATTATAATATCAAAGACATCCTGAGGAAATACAAATGAGGAAAAGTAAAACAAATAACAACACTGACATCCACCAGTCTGGAATGGCTGACAAATTTATATTTCCAAAGCTTTAAGACTCCAGAGAACTACAGTCAGCACCATTAAACCTCAGTTAGAGTAAAAGACACCCCTGCTTTAGATTGCAAAAACTAAGGTTATCTGAATCTTCTGCTTCATGTTGGAGTCATCGCTGCTGTTGTCAGCTTGGATCTGACCAATGGTCACATGTTCATCTGGTTCTTCATGTGACTGGTGTCTTCACCGCCTCCTTGAACACACAGCAATAACAATTAGTCACAAACACAAAGAGCTTCTTACACCCCTCCCTGTTCAAACTAGTGGTGGACATTTGGTTGAATCATCAAAACAGTTTGGAGGAACAGAAATAGATAAATTTTGTTGAAACATCATCAAAATGAATCAGATCTTCATTGTGGTCTGATTGCACACACTGCCCTATGTCCATAAAAACAAAAACTCCTTTTGAAACAGGTAATTTATCAGTTTATGGACAAATGCTGCTACTGCAGTTTTCTGGCCGACCTCCGATCTTTAAACAGCCTGATTTGCCGGATCCGACTTTGTCCGTCACCAATTTTTTTTTTGTTTGAAAAATCACTAAACTAGCTACAAAATTGCTAAGTTAGCAACAGTCTGATTTTCAGACTTCATCAGTAAATAAGATCATTTTGTCATTTAAGTATTGCTCGATCACCAATCTCCCAAAATTAAGGAAGTTGGGGACAATTTTTTGGTGACAGCTTAGAAAATAGAATTGCTCCCCTTGTAATTGTTAGAGAGAAATTAGTCCCAAGCAAAATTATTTCTACCTTTGAATAAAGATGTTTAATTACAAACTTTTCTTTAAAGATATATATCTCTTTTGTAAAAAGAAACACCATCAAACTACAAAGTACGATATTACTGGCCCAAAAATATTTTCATATTCCTTTTGTGACAACAGGAAAAAGAGGCTTGTACATTCTGAAAGCACTGACTACACAACTGAAGATGTTGCGGTAAACCTGCAACCAGAGCACAATAAGACATGAGAGATCAAGACAAAGTGTGTAAGACATTTCCTCTGGTATTTTCATTGTGAACTGAAACTCCTCACCTCTGGTTTCAGCTCCTGAATGTATAAGTTCTTTAACAACCAACTTCTTTTCTTTATTTGTCTTTTTAAAGAAAAATCTGCTCCAATCTCCTGGACAGAGCTTTTTTGTAAAGTATGGTTTTGTGTTGGAAAAATTAAATGTTGTTTCCTTGTAGATGAAAAGAAGAAAACAAAAGGTTGTTGTTTCATAATAAGGTTGTTTTTCCGACTTTGGTAAAAGAGGAAGATTAACAGTTTTACAATTTAAGTGCATTTTACATATCTTGAAAAGTTTGTTAGCTTTATATGTTTTGTGTCTGCTTTGTTCGGCAGGTTGTGCCCAAAGACTGAACGTTGTAGAACGGTTTCCATGGTGACGGTAAAAGACCTCCCGCATAGCTGTCCGTGTCATGCCTGAACATTTTGTTGATTTAAATTGCGCAGTAAAAACGTATTGTTTCCTAACCTCTAAAATTCTGAGCAAAATCATCTGAATACCAGGTATTTACTGCAAACACAAGGGTTTAGTATGCTAATAAATCTTTACTTGTTTTATTTTTTATTGTATTTGTCAAAGAATACATAATTTTAACCATACTCATTGTAATAATTATTATTACAATTATTATAGTCATTGCTGTTGTGTCTAGTTATTTATTTATAAATTATGAATTTATTCCTAGTAGTTATTTTTAAATGTTTTCTTTTACTCAGTTTCATATACTTAAATAACTTTCTGGAAAAAAATTACATTTAATTGTAGTTTACTACACTATACTTTTTGCTTGTTCTTGACTAGTACAGTATTGCTATATTACTCTTACTTGAGCAAAATTACTGGGCTCTACCCACTGTCAGTAACTTCACTGAATGATGAACAAATATATTTTAACCAAAAATCTACCAGATATAGACACAAACCTACAATTTATGTTAAAAGTGAGACTACATGTTTGAATGCAAGCTTTACATTTTCCAGTTTTTATCTACTGAGTCTGCGGAGATATGTGTAATGTTTTATATTTTAAGGACTAATTAAAAAATAATAATAAACACATTTTAATTGCATAATTATAAAAAAACGTACTGTGTTTTCTGTACCTTTTTGACATTCTCAAAACTTTGTGCGTTTTGTCTCTCTGATGACGTTATTTTTTTAAATTAATGTTCGGAGTAGTTTTAGCAAATATTTTTTACTCTTGCTTGAGTAATTTCTTGAATGGATATGACTTACTTTTTCTTGAGTAAAAATGTGTTGAAGTACTGGTACTCTTACGTGAACGCAATTTTTGCCTACTTCTTCTCCTTCTTCTCCTTATTATTATTATTAGTAGCTACATAAATAAAATTATTATTATTATTATACTGTTGTGGTTATCATTGTCTACTTAGAACTGCAGTTTTTAAAATAATAATAATAATAATAATAATAATAATAATAATAATAATAATAATAATAATAATAATAATAATAATAATAATAAATTCAAACTACATTTCCTAGCATGCTTAGTAGAAGGTCCTGAATCACAGACACACTAGTGGAACTTTGTAGTTCTTTCTAGACGTCGCAACAATAAAATTAACCTCGACCTGAACTACATTACCCATAGTGCGTAGCTTCAGCACATTCAGTACATTCTGCTTATCCGGGGATGTCGCACCGCTGCTATTTTCTCCCAACAGTCCCTCTCACTATCAGCCCACAGCTCAAGAGGACTGACACGGGTCTCTGGCTGGAAACAGACCGAGAATAGGACGCCAACCGGAGGCCAAGAAGAAAAAAACATGGCCGAACTCGGCGCGGGGAGCCTGCCGTTGGGAGAACCAGCTTTTAGCTACCAGCAGGAACAGGAGCTGAACGAGCGGCTGAAGCGGCTCTACCCGGCTGTGAACGAGGAAGAGACCCCTTTACCCCGATCCTGGAGCCCCAAGGATAAATACAGCTACATCGGGCTGTCACAGAACAACCTGCGGGTCCACTACAAAGGTTAGAGGGCTGCCTCATCCCGGATGGGTCTGACAGTTACAGCAGAGAGAGGTCTCAGCTGTAATCGGTCACTGTGTTGTTGCGGAGGGGGCTCAGAAACACATATGCACACACACACACACACACACTGTATGCGATTATGGTGACTATATATGTGTGTGTAGTCCTGGTAAATCTAGCCTGAGCTGCCTCTTCTGTCCTTGCTTTGTTACTCAAACGAGCACAGGAATTCCCAAACGGGTGACAGCGAACTCGCTAACCCTGACAGTTGGTTTTATGAGCAACCAGATGAAATTAACCCTCAGTACCACGTCATTCTTTGTTTATTTACCGTTCCCACTGCTGGAAACTGGCTGGCCATCTCACTGTGAGGAGTCACTCTTACAGAAGCATAACAAATGCTAGCACAAAGCAGCCTGTTAGTGCAGTGGTGTAGCAGCCCTGTGGCTAACAGCCCCTGCCTGTTCTTTCTGGGTGTTATTCCTCTGAAAACAGAGCAGCTACAGGATGGAAACAAGCCAAACTTGTTGTCAGGCTCTAACAATGCGGCTCAGAGCTGCTTGGGTTTTAAACAAACAAAGCCGTTAAATAAACATTAAAGATAATGGCATTGTTGCGTTTTCTCGCGTGATTTCGTTCTGGAAGTGTTTTCCAGAAGTCTTGGCCTGGAATAAAGCTTTGCTGCTCCATGAAAACAGCCCCCAACTGTGGCAGAGAGGAGGCCTCTGCGCAGCACCCCAGGCCAAGTGTACCGATCATGTGTGGAGACGGCAGTCTGGCATTTTTAACAATAACACAGACTAAACGGTCCAGAAAACCCGTCACAGGTCTCCACAAGCTGTCATCTGCATCCTAAATTAAAACAAGATGACGTCTGTATTCTGTCCCCTTTCAATGGAAAGGGCTGTACTTTTTGTCAACATGCTTACAGTACTTTGAAAAAGTTCTCCATCCAGCTTTTTGCATGGATGGAGCTAAATTGAAGCCATTAAGTCTAGGGGGAGAACAATTATATATAGTTTCAGATTTTTCATGTTCAAACTTCTGGGTTTGTTTGCCGTGTGCAAAACTTTGTTGATATTCTACTAATGTTGAAAAAAACACAATTTTGCAATTCCGGTGTTTCTGTTAAATGAGAATCACAATTAACATGTGAATATGTTTGTTCATGTGATAACTCATTTAAAAACATACGCACCATCATCTTCCTACCACTTCATGTCGTCTTTTTCATCTTTTCCACCAGTAGTAACACAATTGATCACGATTCTTGTGATGAGACAGTGTTTCCATTACAGTTTTGTGAAATGCGTCTATTTTGATACAACCGAAAAACACCTCATCCTACCAGAATGTGTCAAAACTTGTGTCTTTTCAAAATTGGCATGGTTCCATTAAGCAAATGTATTTTTTTTATTCCGGTTTGTGCAATTTTACAGTTAGTGGAAATGCAGCTAGTGGGAATTGGAAATGTCTTGAAAAGGTTCTCAATATTCGATCAGGAATATTTTATAATTATATAATATAATATATAATTCCACAACCCTCTGTGGTCTGAGGGCCCAACAGGGCTGAAATTTGATGAAATAAAAAAATTATTTTTAACTTTTTCTTTTCAAGGTTGAAAATTTTTTTTTCTTTGATGTTGGCAATGAACTATCACCCATTAATGTGATTTATCACAGTTAAATCATGGCTGATAACATCTGTGTTAACAGCTTGGGAAGGTATTTAAATCACAGAGACAAATTGCAACTTTTGTTACATTTTAAGCTGCTGTAGTTTTCTTTCATACTGCATTGTGTCAAACAAACTAAACCCTTTTAAAACCTCTCCTTGCCTGTGGGGGCGCTGCACCAAGAACCACTGAAGGAAAAGAGACAACAACACTGAGCACAACTTCCTTCTTCTGCAAATGCAAACGTGAGATTTTAGCGGTGTAGTTTTTCTCTTTTGTCTTTGGTAAAAGACCACAAGCCATTTCTCCAAGGTGGCTTGGCTAGTGTGTTTGCTTTGTTGTATTTACCCAGAATGCCCTGTGCTGTAGTCCACTTCCTGTTTTTGGAGCGACAACTTGTCAGCTTGGCGTTCAGATATGTATTTGAACCGCACCAAGTTTGCTGTTTTGGTTCGGTCACACATTCACAAACAAAGCAGACTTTCTACATAAACTAACTGTAGTTTGGTTAAATTCAATCATTAATATATTTCATTACCCAAATCAGGCCATTCCTTTTGAGGCATCAGTTTGTTTTGTCTGTGGGTGTATCTGAGAAAAATAATAATGTTAGTCCTTCTCATTGTAAAGTATAGACTGACTATAGGATTTTGTAGCTTAGTGAGAACAAATAATATATCTTATAATTTTTTTTGTATTAGTAAAAAGTAATCATTATGTACAGCTTTAGGCAGTTCTGTTGATCCTGGTTGCTCTTTAAAGAGGCCGAGAGAATATATATCTAACCTGCTTCCAAAAGCTTTTCTGAGAAATATCAGCTGTTGAAATGAAGAATTTCCCCGGCAGATGGCCGGACAGAGCCCTCTGATCAATTAATGAATAATTAATAGGCCCACTGCTGATTAACTGAATAGATTGTGATGCATCACCTTGTATTTTTGTAGGATATAATGTGTCCTGAAGTATGTGCACATGTCAAAGGAATCTGTGGTTAATGATAAATCATGCCTCTTCATGTTGGGCGCATGTAGGCCATTGAGTCTTTTTGTCTGCGAGGAGTGAAGAGATTAGGTGACACTGCACATTTGTTAATGGATGACACATAAATGAGTCTTTTTCTGGACTGTGCAGGATATTTTTTCTCCGCCTGGTTCCTCCAGCTCCTGCTCTGTTACCTCACCCTGGTGGTTTGGATGCTATTTTGACCGGTGTGCCAATTTTCTCCCTTCAAGGCCACACAAACTCTCTACCTACACTCACTGTGCACAAGCATTTATGTTCAGTGGAAAGTCAAGAAGGATTAATGTCTTAAAAACCAGTAAATATAACAAAAAACAGACCTTTACTGTGTTTGTATTTAGCTACTCAGTGGTTAAACAGCAGCGTTCTGGATCAGCTGCAGCAGTCTGACGTTTTAGGCAGACCTGTCAAGACACTGTTGCAGTAATCAGTGCAACAGTCTTTTAATCCTGGAAATCTTATTCAGGTGATAGAAGGCCGACTTTATAACTGTCTTTGTGTGTCTCTGAATGCTTAAACCCAAATTTCAGGCCATTGTGTCACGACAGGACTACTTGATGTCGTATTCTTGTATATGTATTTTTTTTTTCTGTCCCACAACTTTTGTGTCCCCCTGAGTGCTACCCTCAACTAGCGGTTGAGGCTAATGCTAATTAGCTGCTAATTCACTGTTTCTAGCTTTCTTGCATGTGCCATGAGTAAATGCAAATCTCTTGCTACTGGCTCACTTCTCTTGCCAATCCACTAGATGCGCAGTGCATTCTGGGTAAAAAAGAAAACCCTTTAAACTTGGCACTATGGATGTTGAGGCCAAATGCAGTGTGAGAAACACAAAGCTTGTTTGTAATACTACTCAATCATTACACTGTTTTTTTGTCTTGAATTTTATTCAAGGTCCAATAAAACAATCTGAACATGTCTCAATTTTGACTTTATGAAACTTACAGATACGTTGACGCAAACATGGCATCCAATCGACCAATAAAGGTGTTAGAACGACCCAGTCAGAGTCCGGAACTCGGCACTGGAACTTTACAAAGCTGATTGATAACTTAAGACAGAAAATGCTCCTTCAAATGGATAAATAAATAATTTCACAGGCATTGTGGTTCATCTCTTTAGGTTGAGATATTATTCTGATTTCATGATGCATGCAAAAATTACACAGCCAAGAACGACAAACGCCTCATAAAATCTTCCCTTCTTATGTTTCATTCTGTTGACCTTTTGTATCAGGGATGAAATGAGAGTTGGCAGATTGCTGCAGGTTGCAGCAGTCAGTAGGGGTTGGAAAAAGCTTGTGGCAGCAGTTGTGTTGCAATCTGCTGCTGCGTATTTACAGCATTGAGCATCATCACCCTAATGCAGCTTCTTTTTTACTTGGCCTAGTAACTTAGTGGGTCCCCAGAGCTCAAGACCCATTAAACAAGATAAAGATGAGATGAACATAGTGGGAAGTTATCCTGGAACATCTGAACATCCCTGGTAATGACGCTGATGATCTATGGTTTGGTTCACATGATGATGGTTCAAGCAAGAACACATGAGTGAAATTTAGCCTCTGCTAACCCAGTTTTTCTTTCTGGACTGCAACTATTTAACTCCTCACATCCATCCATTACTTGAAGTCTAGATCCGCTGGCTGATTCACACAATATCCCAAAAAGGAAAACAGTTCACCCTTATCAACAAGCTGGGAACCTGGGAAAAGTTGTTAGAATGTTATTCTCACTTTAAGAGATAAAATAAACAAGTAAAATGACTGTTTTTCTATTTTCCAATTAGTTGCATTAGTAGAATTATTTCTGCACATTAATATCTGACCAATAATTGTCTTCTTGGTGAGAAATGACAAATTTACCCTGTTGAGGGCGATATACTGTGTTGTAACGTGCTATGTCATTGACGCATGGAGGGTAAGAACATGGTTGAATTTAGCATGTCAGCATTAGCTTCTGCTAAGCACCATGTTGGTATTGCAGTTTAACGGTATCAGATCTAATGTTTGATTAGTTTTTTAGGCTTAGTGCAACAAGCTTTTTAGTTAACAGCTCACACCACTGCATTATGGCCTCCATGACAAAACATTTGGACACCCTTCCTCTATGGGAATCACCTGGTTGGACCTAAAATCATACTTTCTTTCTATCTAACTGGGATATATTTTGGTGTTGTTCATGAAGTCAGCTAAAACAAATAGTACCAGTTTAAAACTTTAAACGCAACCTTGTGACTCGTCTACCGCCTTCATGGGGAGGCTGTTCGCTGCTCTGCTGCTCAGGCTGAGGGCAACACTCCATCATGTTGTACTTTTCCTTATTGAGCTGATAGATTTTGCTCTTTCACCCAGCCGGTCGCCAAAGATAGAACCTCAGGCATGAAAACAGATATTCTAGTAAGCATGATGTTTCAGAGTTTAACCTCTTGAACTCTGACCTTTGGTGAAAGAGCGGATGTCTCTGATGCACCTAGTGTTTGTTGTGGTTATTTCTCCACCATAATGGACTCCGGTAGCAGCAAGGGAGCTCGTTATGTCACAGTTTGATTCCTCATCACGTTTTCCAGCATCTGAATTTTAAAAAACAAACTTTGGCATTTTGTTTCATCCGAGCTGCTGTGACAAAATGTGTTGCCTTCCTATAAATAGACCAAATGGATATTGGTGCAAATATAGGATTGGACAATCATCAGTTGACACACAGCGCGAACATGCCTGGGCATACTGCTCACATGCACAGGCATGTTCTAATAACACACTTTAGTTTAAGAGGTCATGGAACAGGCCGTCTGGTTTGAAAAGATTTAACACATTTACAGTTTAAAGATTTTTGATTATTTGCATATTAAATTATTGACACATTGATGCTTTTTTACATTATTTAAAATATTTTTACACTGTAAATTATTTGCTCTCAACCCATTGCCACAAAACTTGCAGTAATTCCTCGTTTATTTATGTCTTCCTTCAGTTGAGCCAGACTTTATCATAATGATTTGTGTGTCTTGATTAATTGTTGTGGAAGTCCTAAAAAACGTTAAAAAAAACCTCATGCCTGACTAGATTTATGATTAAAGCTAATGTAGAACATTTTTATATTAACAGAATGAGACTTATCTTCCCCTGCTTATTGATTTTACTGTGAATAATCATATTTTTATGCCTTCAAAAAAGTGTTTCTGCATATAATAATAATTGTTTTTTGTTTTGCAGGCCATGGAAAGAACCATAAGGATGCAGCGTCAGTGCGAGCCACTCACCCGATCCCTGCCGCCTGCGGGATTTACTACTTCGAAGTGAAGATTGTCAGTAAAGGTCGAGACGGGTGAGGAGAAATGAACAAACTTCTGTTCTGAGTTACCACTGGATGGTTCCTGTTGTGGAGGAATTTTTTACAGACCAAATAAAGATGGTGGTCGTCTTATATTGATGAGTATATTAATCAATGCTACAGCTGGTTTTAATAAAAGGCAGGAGAAGGGAGGAGCTTGGTCATGTCAGAGAAGCAATCACAGCTTTTTGGTGCTTTATTTATGATGATCAAAACGTGATTAAATATCAGCGTCAGTAAATATCAGTAAACTGCCATAAAAGCTAAATCAAGACTGGACATTTATATCGGCCTGAATTTTTACATTTGTGCATCTTTAGTTTTTACACTTCAACTCTGCTTTTTATAGAGTGATCAAATCCGACGGGACAAATCTGTCACTGGAGAGACATTTGTTCACAAATATCTCCTCCAATAACTTTTTATGAAATAATAAAAGGGCCACACTAAGAAAATAATTAAATTAAGAGAATAAGGTTATAAAATTATGAGAAAAAGTAATAATATTGCAAGAAAAATGAGTCATAATATTATGAGAATAAAGTCATGAAATAGTAAGTCAAAATAATATGAGAATTAAATGACAACACTTGAATAAACTCATAAAACCAGAGTAAAAATAATACGAGAATAAAGTCGTAATGGTATGAAAAAAAGGCAGAATATGACGAGAACAAACTCATATTACAAGAAACAAAAATGTAACAATGCGAGAAAGAAGTTGTCATAAGAGAAAAAGTGGTTATACCAAGAAAAAAACGTTGCATAAGTGCATAATACGATAAAAAAGTTGTAATAATATGAGAAAAAAGTTGTAATACAATAAAAAAATTGTACGGCTTTATTCTCATAATTAAAAAAAAAACATCTTGGTCCAGCCAAAACTTTCCAGTATTAAAACAGCAGCAACAACAGAAAAAGCCAGTCCCTGCAGTTTGGTGGGTTCATTGTCTCTGCTTTAGCAAAAATTTAACCTTTACATCATCTACAGTTGAAGCAAAAATAGGACAACCCAAAAGTTGGCAGATTTAGCCGTAATCTCTTCCTCATCAAATCCGACGGGACAAATCTGTCACTGGAGAGTCCATGTTAACTAAAAATCCAAAGCTTCTTCCCAACAGAACCAGAATCATCATAATTTGGAGGCTGACCCAGTTCTGAACGGAGAGTAACGCACATCTGGGTCAGCTGGGCAGGAGACCGGTCTACGCTGCAGACACATAATGAAATATTTAATATTTGTGAGTTTTAGGCCTGTTGCTCTTTCCAAAAAGGAAAAACTTTTGCCTTTTTGTAACAGTAATCCTTATCTCTCCGAACTGTTCAAATAGTGATGAAGACATAGGAACAGAATGTATTGGTAAATTTGTTTTTTAATGTTTTTTGTTTTTACTCCCTATGTTTGTATATTCAGACATTTTCTCATCCAAATATTTTTATTTTATTTTCATGGTGTTATTGCTTTAGCTGTGCAATAAAAAACTGCTTCTATAGCTGCTTGTGTTAAATAAGAAGTCATCACAGAGCTAATATTCTGTCTACAGATTGTAGAATTTACCAAAACATGGATTTTGACTTTTATCTGAAGTTTATCTGAAGTCATCCTACACCCTCCTCTGGCTCTGCAGATTCACTGACTGAGTTGCAGAACAAACCTTCTTCATGCAGATGTTTATCTCAGGAAGTGATGACCTCAGAGCGTGCCAGACGCAACGCAGTCTGTGACTGGTTTCACTGAGCAACAGCCCACGCTTAGAGGTGTCTCTACTGCGAGTGCTGCCACTTTTCATGTTCATTGTCTCCCATGGAGGCAGCAGATCTGAGCAGTCCAAAGACGTCTCTGTTCAACGTTCCTACTGAATCTTCTCTGAAATGTTTCCCAGTCTGAATGCAGCAGGAACAAGCTGCTCTGGGTCTGTCCACTGATGAATTAGTAAAATCCCTCTTCCTGTTTTCAGGTACATGGGCATCGGCCTGTCTGCACAGGGAGTCAACATGAACAGACTGCCTGGTGAGTAACTCCTGCATTATGACCATTAGTCCTGTCACAATAAACAATAAATAAATTAATTTCATGGAAAATTAAAACGAACTCAAAAATTTCCATTTACATGATTTATCGTTATTTTCTTTCTCTTTTTCTACCAATACTGGTAATTTTGTTTCCATAGGCTTTATTACTAGTTTTATTTGTTGTTTCTGTTGTTTTGTTTATTTGTTTTGGATATTTAAAATGTCTTGATCTTTGAGAATGTCTTCTTGCATTATTATGCCACTATATCACTTGAAAATGATCTCAAAAAGACAATATTATTGTTTATCGCAATAACTTCTGGGACAATTTATCGCCCAACGTAATTTATTATCATAACAGGCCTAGTTAGAACAAATGTATTGATGAAAGATAAACCCGAAGGTTATGTTCCATAAACTTGCTTCATGATTTCATAATCTCATTGTCTCAGCATATTATGGGCTTTCTGGGTCTGAGCCAGGATTTCAGCCACTTTGGCAAGAAAAACATCCTCTGCTTTTGTTCCTTTCTGCTCCCTCACATTACGCCACAATTACAAACAGAGTTTGTCCCTGAAATCTTTTAATTACTTATTGGGCTGTGACTTCATCAGCTCAGATTACAATTGATCATTGTAGCCTGGACTTGTGGCGAACTCTGGGAAAGTTTTGAGCTAAAGTAAAACAATTTTCTCTAGAGATGTAGCAGAGTCTGTAAAATGTATAAAAAAAAAAAAAAAAACACTTAGAAGATCAAATTCTGGATGACTCTAAAAACGAGACGTCAGCTGTGGATAAAGTGGTTTAACAGGGAAGGAGAGAACATGTCGGGGCAAGTCACCATCGCAGAGGTCACATGGATGATGTGGACTCCAGTTCATAGTGTGACTTCATACCAGTCTAATTATACACAAATGTTTCCTCTAACTGCTTGGAAAATTTTACTTTTGGTAGAAATGAGTTTAAAGCCCAAATGTGAGCAACCGGCCAGTCAAATAAATGAGTTTGGAGAAGTCAGTGAAGTCAGAAAGGGGCTAATTTAAATAAATACATTATTAAATTGTTACTTAAATGCACCATGAAATAAATGTTTAATTAAATGTTTAAATCATTTATTTAAGCAGGATTTTTAAAGCTCGAGGATCAGTGTAAGCCCCGTCTGTCGACTTTATGAGTTTGAGAGATAAAATAATTTCATGGTGATGCTGCAGGTATGGAAGGCCAAAAGGGACAACACTTGATATGTTGTTATAAAATCATTAATTAATTAAATGTACCATGAAATAAATAAATGCTTAAATAATTTATTTAGACATGATTTTCAAATATTTGGGATTGAATTAGTGGAGTTCAACAGATCAATGTTAGCCCCGCCCCTCGACTGTGATTGGTGGATTTGACAGATCAAATTATTTCCTGGTGATGTTGCAGTTATGGAGGTCAAAAGGGATCAAATTAATTACTCATTAATTGAATGTACCATAAGATAAATGAGCATTTAATTAGTCCAATAATTTATCTCAGCATGATTTTCAGAGAGTTGAAACTAACTGGAGTTCAGCGGATCCAGTTTTGGCTCCAGCCCTCGACTTTTATGTTTGAGTTTGACAGATAAAATTATTTCACAGTGATGAAATATGTATTTAGGCCCAAAAGGGACAAAATTAAGCAAATAAGTATATTTAAACATAATTAAGTTTACTACAAAATAATGATTATGAGAAATGTGCTCCGTTTATCAAACTGACTCAACAAGAGGTGCCAAACTCTAGAAGAAAAAACTAGATCTCCTGAGTTTCTTCTTCCACGCAGTTGATTTTATTAAACATCTGAGGGGAAAAATGTCCACCAAATAAATCTGATCGGTTTGATTTACGACTGCTGTTTGTTTCCCACCGCTGACCTCTGTGTGTGATCCTGCTGTGGAGGCCTGCCCATTTCATTAGCATGTTGGAGCAGTGAGCCTGGCTTTAGAGGCAATATCCCTGTCAGCAGATTAATCTAATACCTCACACACACACAGAGACAGACAGTGGTGTATTCACATAAGGACACACATGGGGAGACGAAGGACAATATGTACCCAAGCTTAAAGGAAAACACCGCTGCACAACGGGGATGTGAACACAAACGGATTAAACCTTCACTGCATTTTCACAGGTTCATATTTGCACATATTCAAGTATGCAGCTAAAATCTGTCCTGTCCAGTGACCTAGTTTCCGTAACCCTGCTTCGCTTTTTGTCAACAACGCGCCCACAGCAGCTGAGGTGGAGCGCCAGCCGCTCCGCCGATGGCTTCGAGCTCGAGTTCGCCCAGGAGGAAGGAGAATTCCTGCAAAACTCGATTTGGAGCCAAACTTTACGCAGAGAGAGCAGCCTGATGTGTTGGCAGACCGAATAGTTTCCTTGTGCTGCGCAGAAATCAGACCCGCTTGTCCCCACAATAATGAACCAGTCTGAGTGTTTCATCAACCTAATCTGGATCCAAATAACTTTCTGGTTTAACTAAGTCGAGTTTAATTTCAGGAGGTGTGTGTTTATTCATTCAGCCATCAATTATTCTTGGTACTTTAAAAATGCAACCTTTTTCATAATTGTGGGAATATTTTACTGATTTGTGGCTCAACAATTCAATTCAAAACCGATTTTTGATTCAAAACAAAGAGAGGAAGAAAGAAAGACTTTTAACACTTACATTTCAAACATGCATTTCGATTAATTGTGCATTTTGACAAATTGACTTATCACATAAAAACTCTGTAGATTATTCAGTAAACTTCTTAAGCCTTTTTTATACAGAAATAGGAATACATTGAAAAATGGAAATAAGTTGATTTCTCAAAAAACAAACATTTTATTGCGTCTTATTTTCAAGTTAAAGCACAGAGAGTGAAAGAGAACAACAAAACATAACACTTTAGTTTTCATTGAACATGCTTTATTACTAGGCATAATAATTATTTCATTAACTGATTATTATGATTAATTTGAACAAGGTGAATATAAAAATGCCAAACATATTGACAGAAAAAGGTTATTATTTTACCTTAAATGCAAAACTTATATTTTTTGCATTTCAGAATTTTGGCTTTGTTTTTAGCCAGTGACTTATTTCAGTCTTCAGTTAACAATTAATCAATTACTAAATCAGTTGACGATTATTTCAATAATCGATTCACCACGGTTAATCCGATTAATCATGTCGAGTATTAATTAAGACAGCAAAGTTTTACACCCTATTAAACTTGAACATAAACAGAATTTAAAACTACATAAAAACACAGCAGAGAGAAAAGCTGTCAGGTTATTCATCACTGAAAAAAACAGAAAATCATCTTTTTCTCTATTTTTAATCATCAAGGTAAATACTGTGTCAACTTCTCCGCCAGCAACATTGTTTATCTTATTTTTTCTGCTTATCTGAAGAAAAGATTTTGCTTTCCTTTCAAAAAATTTAACAATTTCCACTTTGCAGATTCTTTTTTTGTCGAGCCTGCATCAAATATAAAAGCCACTTCAGCCCACAGTTTGAAAAACATCAAACAAAATAAACAACGATGAAAGTCGCTTACATCCAAGAAACAAATAAAAAGTTGTTTCTATTTCCTGACGAAAAGGACATAATTCAGTTGAATCTTTTTTAATCTTAGACACAAAACTGTTAACACTCACTCTTTCCAAACAGCATCTATCCTTCCACTAAACTTTCCCTTATTCAACCCTTGAACGGATATTTTATACAATATTTACCATTCAACATATAAAAATCAAAATTTTGAGTCAAGAAAGAGAAAAAAGAGAGCGCCAAAAGAACAGAGAAAGCGTGGAAAAGAACAAGAGAAAAAAATAGGTAAAAGGTAATATTCAAAGGAAGAGATCAAAAAGAATTACATTTTCACATTTATTTCTATTAATTTGTACGACAGATAATATTTACAAAAACAGGAGTGGGAAAAAAGCATCTAGCCAGTGATGACCTGCCAGCTTTCTTCTGGTTCTGGTTCTGAGTGCAGGTTCTGGTTTTGGTTCTGGTTCTTAGAGCAGGTTCTGGTTCTGGTTCTGAGTGCAGGTTCTGGTTTTGGTTCTGGTTCTTAGAGCAGGTTCTGGTTCTGGTTCTTTGGTCTGGTTCTGGTTCTTAGAACAGGTTCTGGTTCTGGTTCTTGTTATTCCTGTCAGCAACGACTCACCTGTTTTTTTTCGGCCCCCTGCTGGCCATCCAGTGAACTGCAGGCTGGAAGAGAGTTTGTATGAAATTTCAGCACCAATTTGATTAAAATCTGAGTTGATGAGTAACTGCCTCCTCACTCATCTTCCTCCTCACTCATCTTCCTCCTCTCTCATCTTCCTCCTCACTCATCTTCCTCCTCTCTCATCTTCCTCACTCCTCTCTCATCTTCCTCCTCTCATCTTCCTCCTCACATCCTCCTCTCACTCACTTCTCCTCACTCATCTTCCTCCTCTCTCATCTTCCTCCTCACTCATCTTCCTCCTCTCACTCATCTTCCTCCTCACTCATCTTCCTCCTCACTCATCTTCCTCCTCACTCATCTTCCTCCTCTCTCATCTTCCTCCTCACTCATCTTCCTCCTCACTCATCTTCCTCCTCACTCATCTTCCTCCTCACTCATCTTCCTCCTCATCTTCCTCTCATCTTCCTCACTCATCTTCCTCTCTCTCATCTTCCTCCTCATCTTCATCTCACTCATCTCCCTCACTCATCTTCCTCCTCTCTCATCTTCCTCCTCTCTCATCTTCCTCCTCTCTTCCTCCTCACTCATCTTCCTCCTCTCTCATCTTCCTCCTCTCTCATCTTCCTCCTCACTCATCTTCCTCCTCACTCATCTTCCTCCTCACTCATCTTCCTCCTCTGCCTCCTCTTCCTCCTGCTGTTGGGCTCCAAAGTGTAAAATCTGATCCTCCTCTTCCTCCTCTTCTTCAGGATGGGACAAGCACTCGTACGGTTACCACGGCGACGACGGCCACTCGTTCTGCTCCTCTGGGACGGGACAGCCGTATGGGCCGACGTTCACCACAGGCGACGTGATTGGCTGCTGCGTCAACCTCATCAACAACACCTGCTTCTACACCAAGAACGGCATCAGCCTCGGTTTGTGGCTCTCTCGGCGGCGCGGCGGCGCGGTGCCGTGTCCGAGTTTCTCACCGATTCCTCTGCTTTGTTCCCGCAGGTGTTGCCTTCACAGACCTTCCTGTGAGTATTACAGCCAATCAGCTCCTGCCGGGCTCTTCTTCTCTGGTTTGATGTTGCAGGAGTTTAATGTGAATAATCCATGAATGCAAGATTCCTAACATCTGGAGAAATACGGAAAAGATTTCCACATCTGGATTTCTCTCCTTGTTGTTTCTTTGTTTCACTCTCTCTCTCTTTTTTTCTCCTCTTTTTCATTTGCAGTTTTGCTCTGTTTCTTCTACTTTTATTTGGCTTTTTTTCTCTTTCATGTTTTTCATTCACATTTTCCTCTTGTTCTTTTGCTTTGTTTTTTTCTTTCTGTCTTTCTTTTGAATTTCTTTCACTCTTGTTCTCTTTTCTCCTGCTCTTTCTCTGACTTTTTCTTCTTTCTTTCACTTACTTTCTTTTCTCTTTTGTTACTTTCTTTCTTCTTTTGCTCTGTTTATCTCTTTCACTCTTTGGTTCTCTCTTTTTTATTAATTCTTCTTTCTTTTGCTCTCTTTAAATCTTTCTCTGTCATATTATCTTTCTTTCCTCAGCAGCAAAGCTAAATCTGATGGTAGAGGTGCAGAAACCTCCGATATGCTACCTGCTAGCGCAGATGCTGTCTGTGTTGCAGTAGCATTGTGGTTGATGGAGAAAAGTTGCAGTGAAACGAGGATTTATTCAGCGTTTTGGGATTATGTCAGTCATCTTTGAGATTAAGTGAATATTTGCTGCTAGAAAAGATTTGCTGTTGTGTTTCCCGAAACAACAGAGCTGTTAAAATAGGGAAAATCTCAGCATCCTGAGGCAGTTTGATATTTTATTTATCTGATAACGTCTGATTGTTGTCTGAATCTCTTCCAGCCCAACCTGTATCCCACCGTGGGGCTCCAGACGCCCGGAGAGATCGTCGACGCCAACTTTGGCCAGCAGCCGTTCGTCTTTGACATCGAGGACTACATGAGCGAGTGGCGGGCGAAGATTCATGGGATGATCACCAGCTTCCCGATCGGCGAGCGGCTGGGGGAGTGGCAGGCCGTCCTGCAGAAGTAAGAAAATCAGCTGAAATTAGTTTAACCTGTTTTTTTTTTTTTAGACGAGTTGCAATGTGATGTCCCTGGTAGCCAACGATGACTAGCTTTGGTTGTTTAGCGTTTTTGCGTTAGCATACATTGGTGCTCTGTTTTGTGAACCAAAGTGTTTTGTCCTCTGCTGTGTTCAGCATGGTGTCCAGCTACCTGGTGCATCATGGGTATTGTGCAACTGCAACAGCGTTTGCTAGAGCCACAGAGACCACGATACAGGAGGACCAGACGTCTATAAAGAACAGGCAGAGTGAGTGAATGGTCCAGCGTGAGCCTCCATCTCGGTTCCTGTGTGAACATCAGTTTGTTCTGCAGGAATACAGAAGCTGGTTCTGGCGGGTCGGGTCGGCGAAGCCATCGACGCCACCCAGCAGCTCTACCCGGGTCTGCTGGAACGCAACCCCAACCTGCTCTTCATGTTGAAGTAAGTCGGCTCCCAGCTGCAGCTGCGGCAGGAAAGAAAATCTCTGATTTCTCATTTTCATTGCTTTTTTTAATTTACTTTCTTTTGAAAAACAAAATTACAAATGACAGAAAATCTTTTCCAAAAGTTCCCTTTATTCCAATTATCCCTTGTATAAGATTAGAGCTTTATTCTCATATTATTTTGACTGTATTCCTCTTATAAGATTACTCTATTCTCGTAATAAAATATTATTAGGAGTTTTCTATTATTCCATCATAGCATTGACCTGAATTCAAAGTCCAGATAAAAGAAGCAGCAAAACAAGATGGCTGCCCTGAGTGTGCTGACATCACTGAACTATAGAAATCCAAGGAATGCATTGGTGAAACAAAAAAACACAGATTTTTCATAAATTAAATCTTCATAGACCAAAAATTCAATTAATCAATAAAATCAATTTATAAAATCCCAGTACAACCAGTAACCCCAGTTCCCGCTGCCCTGCAGGTGTCGGCAATTTGTGGAAATGGTGAACGGGACGGACAGCGAGGTTCGCTGCCTGACGGTTCGCTCCCCAAAATCCCAGGACAGTTACCCCGGCTCCCCCAACCTCAGCCCGCGGCACGCCACCAGCGGCACGCACGTCCACAGTGGAGGTACGAAAATACACTCACCCCCCCACACACACACACGCACACACACACTCACAGGGCGCTGAGAGAACCAGGTGTGTGTTTCTGCATCCCAACAGGAGCGGAAAGCCCCACTTGCAGTAACGGCGTCGCCCCGCCCAACAAGGCGAAGGTTCACGGCGGCGGCAGCATCAAATACCCGAGCGCCTCGTCCTCCACCTCCTCATCCAGTTCCTCCTCCCCGTCCTCCATAAACTACTCCGAGTCCAACTCCTCCGACTCCACCAAGAGCCAGCCGCACAGCGCCAACAGCAACCAGGAAACCAGGTAGGAAGACGTTTAAAACGCCTGGACATAAAATGAACTAGAACTTTTTCATCAATATTAAGGAGTTATTGACTCACAACAATAACGGTTCTTGTTGTAAAGTTACTTCCAAGTTAGTTTTGTCTTATTTCAAGTTTACCAAGAGATTTGCACTGGAAACTAGAGGAAAATTACTTGGTCAGATTTTGTGTTTTTGCAGTGTATGTTTCTTGCTGTTTGTCGTTTCATATTTCTTCCATGGAAAACACTTTGAATCGCTGAAGTGTTCTACACAAATAAACTTCACTTAAAAAATATAATTTAATAGATATTCAATAAAAATTAAACATTGCTTTGTGAATCTAATCGGGTTATTTGTTTCTCAGCCTTTTAATGGTTTACTGGAATCAATCTTCTAGTTAATTCCTGTCGTCTTTAACAAACTCGTCGTTTTGACCCCGGATTTGTTTGCGTTTGTGCCAGCGACAGCGAGATGGAGATCGAGGCGGAGCATTACACCAACGGCGTGGTGGATGGCTCGTCGGCGCGGATCATGAACGGCACGTACCGACACGAAGAGATCCTGCAGCCCGACGACAACAGCATCTGCAACGGGGTCACAGGTCAAAAAACCAGGCCTCCTCATGGCATCCTGGGTGTTTTCTGCAGCAGGCATTTGTAGTGCTTCAAGGCTGGAACAGTTTAAATAATTATCAACTTATTTAGTAATCGATTAATCATTGACTGGAGTAGATGAACAAAAACATCAGTAGTTAAACCCTTAATGCTGCTGTTATATGTTGAATCATTCCAACATAAACACCCAAGTTAAAATGATAAAAACTTGTTGTCATTGTTTTTTTGGTTTTGTTTTGTTTTCACTGTAATATTTACAAAGTCTAACAAATTTGCCTTTTGTGGTTTGATCCATGTCGTGTCACCTTATGCTTTGATTCAAATATAACAAACGAAAAACAAAAACAGTTAATCAAAATCAAGATTTATAGTAGAAATAATAAGCTTAAATTAAAAGGAACAATTAAAAATACTAAAAACTAATGAAAACTCTACAGAATGTGCCAATTATTTTGATTTTTTTGTTTTAAATCTGATTGATCAATTATCCCTGGGAGTAACTGATAAGTTAATGGATTACTGAAAGCATTGCGTGTCGCCTGCAGACGAGGGCCGCAGGAGCAGCAAGCAGCTGTGTGGGGGGAACCAGGCGGCCACAGAGAGGATGATCCAGTTTGGACGGGAGCTGCAGGCGCTCAGCGAACAACTGTGCCACGACTACGGCACCAACAGCACGCACAAGAAGATGTTACAGGTGACCCACCTGCAGAAACTCACATTGACCTTTTTTACTGACAAAAACAATATTTCCCACATTTTCTGCTTTTTTTGAGTGTTTTTTTGTTGTTGTTGTTTTTTTTTTACCTAAATCATCAAAAATGATTTAGGCCAATATTTTAGGAAAGTGACAATATGTAACTTCAAATTAGACCTTTTTTTTTTACTTCGCAAATAGTCGCTAGGGTGAAAAAGTACATGTAATATTTACAAAATAACAGAATATGTTTTGTGTGTCACAGAAAAAGTAAAATGGGTAAATAAATATAAATCAATTATCAAGTGTAAATAAAAATACTTAAATACACAAATGAAACAAACTGCTGTAGTTACATAGAACACATATTCTTAGAGGCTGGTGATGCTGTCAAAAAATACTATCACAATATATTTTTAAATACCCCAAATAACTTCAAAACAAACGCTATTTTAGCTTGTCCCATCCTTTTAGCTTTCCTATAACTTTTCCTTTCACAAGAATAAAACAAAAACATGAATATATGCAAAATCACATTATAGGTTTATTCAACAGGTCTGCATTTTAATGCATCTATGGATAAATAAATGTAAATGTATTTAAATATATTTGTATCTAAATCAATTTAAATTCACACTAATTTTGGCCAACAAAAACAATTTAAATCAGTTACCACGTGTAAATAAAAATGCTTAAATATACAAATAAATCAAACTGTTGTGTCTTAGTAAAACATTAGTTTTACAAGATGTTAAAAAGTGTTTCCTTTCATGTTTTTTGAGAACTGAAAGAAGTGATTTTCAAGGTTTTTTGAACAGGTTGATTAATGAAATGAGATAAATAAAGAATAATGTTCTGGAGTCCAAGTGAACCAACAGTGTCTGATCGTGGTGTAATGACTTATTTTCACCACTAGGGGTCTCAGCTGACCCTCAAACAAAACGATGAAAACACCAAAAACATGAAAACAACTATATTTTAAAATTCATATTACCTCCTGCAACATAAACTTAAACTGATTTTCCATATTTTTTTATGGTGAAAAAATAATCAAATCAAATTCTGTCTACAAGTTGTATAAAAGATGTAAATGATGTAGGAAAGTTTTTTTTCTTTTTATTTCTTAAACAGAAATAAATTATTTAGCAGATAAATTATTATTTATTATTATCAGATTTAATACATGTGTGACACTATTTAAATAGTATTATTAGTCATTTTATTTAGCCTTTTTTTCTTTTTATTTGTTTTTTGTTTTTTATTAAATGATCTAATACTCTGAAAGCAAAGTTCAGATGACGGAGAGGAAAGGAGAGAACACAACCAATAAATAAAACAAAGTAAATTTATTATTAGATTTACTTCTAATAATAAATAGAGTTAATCTAAAGACATTTCTCTTTAGTCTTTTTAATTAAATAAAACGTCTGATAAACAAATAAAAAAAATCACTTTTTCCTCCGAGAAGTGCAGTTTGGAAATGCAACTCAAAGAAAAAAAATATTTGACTTTAAAATCTTTCACAATGAGAGCCGATTGGCTGCTGGTCTAATTGAAGGAGCCAATCAGGAGACAGGAGGTAAACATGTCTGCTTGATGCCAAAGCAGACGAATTCAGCCGCTGTGATCGATCGCCCTCTCTTTCTGTGTGTGTGTGTGTGTGTGTGTGTGTGTGTGTGTGTGTGTGTGTGTGTGTGTGTGTGTGTGTGTGTGTGTGTGTGTGTGTGTGTGTAGGATGCATTCAGCCTGCTGGCGTACTCGGATCCCTGGAACTGCCCGGTGGGCCAGCAGTTGGACCCCACGCAGAGAGAGTCGCTGTGCTCCGCTCTCAACAGCGCCATTCTGGGTAAACAATCATTTAAATTCACAGCAGTTTGATTTTTATCAGCAGTTATAATGCAGCTGAATGTTTATTTTTCTTTTTTTTTTCTTTAATTCAAAATTTACTTTGATTTATTTTACAATTTCTAGTCATTTTAAATACAATGTGTAAAGACAACATTTATCCTTTTAATTGGATCTTCTTGGTTAAAATTAGAACAAAAGTGTAAAAGAAAATTTGGTTTATTTAAAAAAAAGAAAATTAGATTAACTGAAAATAAAATGAGCCAATACTGTAATTACTAGTTAAGTTGTTTAGTTTTTTTTATTGAAATATTATTAATTTATTTATTTTTTTTTTTAATTATGAATAACAATAACTGGTAGTAGTTATAATACTATTTTTATTATTATTGTTGTTGTTACCGAATAATGTTAAGTAGAATAACAAATATTTTATTTAGTCATATAGTAATTTAATATGAAATATTATTAATATAATAATAACATCATAATATTTATTATTGTTAATGTTATAGCAATAATATATATTGTTATAATATTAATAATTGTGTTATTCACCTTTATTCATTATATTATCAATGATAATGATTACTTTCATTACTACTTTTGTTGTATTTTGAGTTATTTAGATATAAACACAAAAATTAAGATTATATCAAATTAATTTTTATCACTATTTTTTATTTTAGTTTTCACTCTATTATGTTTGCAGTCTATTATTTTTATTGTTCTCGCTAATATTTTAATATTTGTAAGAAGAATTAAAACTTAAACACAAAAACAATCAAAATCAAGATGCATGCAAAATAAACTTAACTGTACATTTTTTTAAATGAATTGGAAAAGTGATAAATGTATCAAATAAACAGATATTAATAAATAAAATCTGCTGTTTATTAACTTATTCTCAGTTTCTGGCTGTATCGGCTCAGAAAGCGTTTAAATAAACAAAACTTCCCGTCCAGAATCCCAGAACCTCCCCAAGCAGCCGCCGCTGATGCTGGCGCTGGGCCAGGCCACCGAGTGCGTCCAGCTCATGGCCCGGGTCCGGTCCGGTTCCTGCTCCTTCGCCAGGATAGACAACTTTTTGCACTAGCCCCGCCCCCCCCCCCGACCCGGTCAGGTGAGCAGAACCTTTAGAAACAAACAACATAAAACCATGAAAATCCGGCCTGGATCCGCTGCACACCTCACCTGAACGCGGATCCGTCCGTCTGTCGTCAGGTAACTGCTGAGCAGCACTGGGATGTCCAGCTGGTCGTTGCCATGGCGACGAAGAGGCGAGCATGCGTCTGATTGGATCAGAGAAGGGAAGGAGGCTTCCTATTTAATTTAGTATTATCAGATTTAATAAATGTGTGACACTATTTAAATATTATTATTATTACCATTCAGTTTATTTAGCCTTTTTTCTTTTTATTTGTTTTTTTTAGTATTTTTGTCAGTTTGTTGTGCTCACCCTGGACAAACTAGTCATATTCCCCCCTTTTTATTTTGGTATTATTGTTATTTTCTTTTGCTGTAATGGTGGGACTTCAATTTCTGTGGTCGGTTTTGTTGTTTCTGTTCTCCCGGATCTTTCTGAACCAGAACCAGAACCAGAAATAATACAACCCAAACTGGACGAGCTTTAAATGCTGAGCAACGTAAAAATGAGCTTTTAGTGATTTATTTCACATGGATTTTACAGCAAACAGCGATAATGTTTAGAAACATGACTTTAAAAAATGTTAATTAACATTGGGTTAAAATTACTCATACAAGCTTTAATTAACAAGTAAATCAGTAAGTTCTTCTTTTTTAGCAACTCAAATCTCAAAAATATGTTTGTTTTTTCTGCCATTGTGATTTTTTTAGCCTCTTTTTTGATAAAAATTCTTCTTTTAATCATAACCCAAACATTTCCAGGCCCACAGCATGATGCTTCTCCTTCCATTTGTCTCATTTTATCACACTAAGAAGTGGTAAAATGTAAATTGTTTAGTTTAATTTATGAAAAATACCTATTCTAACTCAGCCCAGCAGAGGAAGAAAGTTTTTTTCTTTCCATAAAGTTTTTTTTTCAATAAAATTCAAATATTCAGTGGAAGTCTGGCTGCTTTCTAAATCTTCTTTTGGACGTTTGAAGTTTTAAATCTTGTTTTTAAAAATCACTGCAGTTGCTTTGTTGCATTATCATCTCGGATAATTTTAATAAATCATCAAAAACAAGAAATAAATGCTTCATAAATAACTAAATTACACATTGTAAGCAAATTAAAACAATCACGTTTTTTTTGCCATAATAATTTTTTAGAGCCTCTTTTTGATAAGAAAAAAATATTCTTTTAATTATAATTCAAACATTTCCAGACCCCGCAGCATGATGCTTCCTCCTCCTTGCTTCTTTGTAATCCAGTTATTGCAGTGAAACCACTCAGTTTTTCTCATTTGAACTAAAAATAATTTTCTCCCTGGAGTTCTCATACCGTTTTTACAGTCAAAATGTAAATTATTTAGTTAAATGAAACAGCGTAGCAAAGGAAAAAAATTGTGTTTTTATATTTAAAAATGTGATTTTTCTTTTTTAAAAGTGATAACATTCAAAGACTCAAAGAAAGCCTGGCAGATTTCCAAGTCTTCTTCAAAAAAATCACAGCAGTTGCTTTATTGTATTATTATTTTGAGAAATAAATCTGTTATTTTTCAACTTCTGATGTTTAATAAAAGTACTGAGGAAACCCAAGTCTGTCAAACTTTCCCATTCGCCTCGTTAGCGGGAGAAATTATCCCCCACAAGTTAGAAATGAGAAAGCATTAAACCCCGGCTGTTGTTTCTGATTAAAGCTAATGTAACATTCCTGGAAACTTTCCCAGAAAAACAGGAAAAAGAACATCAGAAAACATAATTGAAGGTCCTCTGCGGCGGCGGTTGCTAACCGGGAGCAGAGAGGTGTCGCAGTCTTAATTTCACTGTAACAAGCGCCGCGCCGGCCAATCAGAGAGGTGGTTGCAGGTGGCGGCGCGATCCCCGCTGCACCTGCAACACCTGCCCTCAGGGCCGAGTCCTACTCTATTATCAGCATAAAGAAAATCAGTATCAAAGGCCGACTAACAAGCACAGTGTGCGTACGACGGAAAGTCGAGTTTCATTACCGCAGGCTTCGCTTTCCCCCCTCCACACTCTGACCCGCTGTGTGCTCCTGCAGTCGCAGCCAGAGCTTCAAATAAAGAGGTGAAATCATGTGACAAACAGGGAAGCCTGTAATTTTAAGGTGCACTTTGTGATGATTAAACCGCAGCCTTTCTTTCACCAGCCTTTTGTTCCAGAGTTCAGCTCAATTTCTGTGCAATAAGATGAAGGTTTTCCTCCTCTGCGCGTTCGCTAACAAGATTTTCCTCCACTTCCCGTTTCAGAGTCAACCATGCAGAGAGATAATCCAGATTACGTTTGTTTGTGAGCTTAAATTCACCTCCAGTTTGAGCTTTTTTGGATCTCCTGAAGTGGGATTCAGTGGAGTAGCTATTAGCAGTCAGTACCTTACTTAAGCAATCTGAATTTGATAAAATAACAATGTTGAGGCAAATGAAGATCATTTCAAGTGTCACTAATGGCCCACGGGCCACACTTTGGACACCTGTGGCTTACATCGTCTCAGACCTCTTGGTATCTTAATTATTGCTTTGGACAGTAAAGAAAATTCACAACCCAACACTTTGTGTCACAGGTGCCACAAACTATGAAAAACTATGTTTGAAAAACTTATTGTGCTAATTTTCAACAGATTTTTGCTGCAAGTAGAAAATCAGTTGAACATAAAAACAATTAGGAATTATTTTCAGTTATTTCAAACTCAATGTCTATTGTAGCTTCATAAGGAATACCAAACAGCAAAAAGTCTAAATTTCTCCAATAAAAAGTACAAAATATGTCTTTTAAATGCAATATTTGGTGTGTGTGAAATATGCATCAACAGGAATTTTCTCTGGATTAAAACTAAACTCTTTACTGTGCAGTTATTTTGATATTTATGCTAATTTTGGCCTTTAAAAACAAGGATATCAGTGGGTGATAATCCGATAATGTTACATCAGTCTGAAGCCAAAAATTGTTAGCTTTCCTCTGGAGTTGAGCAAAAAAATCCATTTAATCAATCAAAAGTTTGGAAATGTTTGGAAAATCATATCCGGTATGAAGAAATTTTATTGCCCAGCTCTAATCTGGTTCCTCCCAGCTGAATTTACTGCAGTAATAATCCAGATTAGAGAATGTCACTTCAAAGATCCAAAGTAATCCTTTATGTTCGGCTTCCTTAAATGTTCAAGTAGGTAATGAAACCCAAATGTGATTTCAGCCTCTCATCTGTTCCTGTTTTTATTTAAAAGCAAAGCATGAGGTTCACTTCGCCTTCCTCAGTTTGACCTCTGACCTCTGTCCTCTCCTCCAAGCTCAAATTGATCTGACCATGCAGACGAGCGATGCACAAATGACTTCTACCTTCATTTTATTTTGTTTGTATTTCTTGGGGGGAAAATTTTGAGTTTTACCTAAATATATAAAAAATGTAAAAAAGAAAAAAGAAAAAAAAAAAGAAAAAAACATTGTGAAATGAGTTATCTACTTAGCATGACTTTAAAAACTTTAAAACAATAAAAAAAAAGGACAAATGATAATTGTAAAAAAAATGTATTGGAAACATGTTTAAAGATAAATATTGTATTCTGTTTAATTTTGACAGAATTATTTTTATTAAAATACATCCATATGCATATGAATCGTGTCCTGTTTTAATTTGTCACAGAAAAGTTCACTAACTAAATGTTATTATATTTATATGTGTATTATATTTGATTGGTAACGAGAATCAACCAGAATGTCTGTGTGATTAAATTACATTTTTTGTAAAGAAAAAACGTTGTGATTAATTAAATTAAAGGTGGGGTTTTCCTGCTCAGTGAGATTACACTGCTGCAGATAAAATATATATTTCACCCCATAATTATAGCAGTGAGAGAAAATTATTATGAAAGTTGCTGATTGCCTGAAATGACATTTTGTCGACAGCAGGGGGCAGAAAAGAGCTGCAAACCATCCAAACAAAACCAGCTGCGTTTCTTTGTTTCATTTCTGATCACTTCCTGTTGGAGCCCCTGAGTTTTATCTCCAAATCTGAAAATAGTTTTTAGTAACACAGAGTACTTTAAGCCGATTAGGTTTTAAAATATGAAGGAGTTAAATATGTATGTATGGAGTCTGAAGTTAAGTTCATTTCAACCAAAACAATATCAAACTGAGAAATCTTCTGCAGTTACAACTAGAAGACTTTTTTGTAAGTTTTTTTATGTAATATTTTTTATTTCATTCTCATAATAAACTCCATTCTTGCATTATTATTACTTTATTTTTGTAATATTACTACTTTATACTCCTAATATTATAACTTTGTTCTCGTTACGACTTTTTCTTTGCAATATTACTTTTATGTCATATTATTACTTAATTTTTATATTATTAAGACTTTACATTCATATTTCTACTACTTTATTCTTTTAAATCATTTATTGTTGCATTTCTGTGACTATATTCTCATATTATTACGACTTTATTCTGTTAAAACTACCACTTTATTCTTACTTTATTTTATTCTTTTGACTGCTGAAGTTGATGTATTTAAATTCCCAGGAATCCGGTGCAGCGAACTGAGGAGAAAGAAACCAAATTTCATTAATTCCATGCTCGCTTTTTATTTATTTATCTCATTCCTCATAAGAAACCATATTAAAATGTGATTTGTGCGCCTCAGAGATGGACGCCGGAGGATTGAAACCAAGCAGTAAACATCTTCTGGCAGTCCCAGGTCAGAGGTTGGAAACATCACAACACCCACACTTTACCGCCCAGACGATGCATATTCATAGTTACATGAGAGTCATTAGGGATGTGTTTTATTGGTATATCTCTCCATCTCTCCATCCATCCATCCATCCATCCATCCATCCATCCCTTTCTGACTAAACAGTAATTACTGGGAGGCCAATGGGAGGATGCGGCCCCCGCCTGCTCTCAGCCAGATTGTAATGGCTTCATAAGCGCCGCTGATTGAATTGATTGCCGCAGTCGGAGTCTGGCTGAGACGTACAATGGGGCGGAATATGCGCATTAATCAGCTCGGCCTGCGTGGCTCTCGCTTTTATTTTCAGGTATACAGGTGAGAAATGCACACAGCGCCAATCGTAAACAAGTCACGCCGCCAGCAAACAGACCGAACTTTTCCGCGCCACGCAGGTCTGCGGCCTCCAGCGTGGAGCAGCAATCAAGCGTCTGGAGGAAACTTCCTGCTCGCTGTTTCACATTTACCAGCAACAACTAAACTTACTTTTATCTGGAATTTTATTTTGATACAAACAAAACGACCTGGGAATCCATCATTTGTGGTGAGCACAAAACTTTAACTAAACCCTGAAAAAGTTCATAATTTTAGGACACTGTTAACAGTGGCGTATATAGAATGTTTGAGGGCCAGGTGCTCAAGTGGACAAAAGGGCACCAACACATCAAACCGCAGGTTGCCTTAGCGTGAGATTTCTACCTCCTTTATATCTTCAGCCAAACACAATAAATACGTTGTCAGAAAAAGATCAGAAGGACATTTTGGTCTAGAGGACAAAAAAAATATTCAGTTCAACTTTTTTTGTCTCAAAAAGGGAGAAAAAAGATTTAAGGACTTTTATTTGTCCATAGAGGGAAAAAAAAGTATTTCCTAATTTTTTACTTAGTTCTGGTCCAAGCTTGACAACAGGAAGTTATCTGAATAGCCAAACTATTCTATCAATACAATTCCTCAATGCAGAATTCTTGTAATATCTCTTATCTTTATTTTATTGGAGTTTTTATTTATTCTGGACGGAAATTTTTCCAGCAATAATCTAAACACATAACTTTACTGAAACAAAAACTACAAATTCAAGGTCCGTTACATTTAAATAACATAATTTACGTAAATTATTTATTATGAAAATGTCATACCTTTCGCTACTTTACATCAGACATCAAACAAAAGAGAATAAATAAGTACAGATAAGTCATTGGAGATTATCAGGGTACTTTATTGAAAATGTTTGACAGTTTATGACAGTCACATGAGATTTTATTCATATGTCGGAGATTCAGACCAGGTTTGAGGTTCCCAACATTCCCAACGGATTGATAAAAATGTCAGATTAGATGGGAAACATGTGGACTATCTGATCAAAGAGCTTTTTTCTTCTCGTTATGTGGAATATTTATATATATTTGGCAAGTTTACAAACAGAAACACACAGAAACACATACTTACCCATAAGTTGCCAGTAGGGGGCAATATTTCAACACTAATTTTACAAAATAGCATTTATTTCCCCAAAAATCTCAGACTTTCCCAACAATACTAGTTTTTTTAAAATTCTTAGACACCAACAAGAACATTAGGAAATATCTGGCTACGTTTGTTTTGTTTTTCCGATTTCATTCAGAAACAGCAGATACAGTTTCTATTACATGTTTTTGACATTTTGTTTACCTTTTAAAGCATCTTTGAGGCGATAAACTAAATTTCAATTTTTTTAAGCTTGTTTTAAACCTCTACTTGTTTGTGCCTTCAGTCATTTTGTAGTTTATGCTATCGCATGTTAACACACTTGTCTAAGCAGGATAAAGCTGCCACTCGATTATTAATTATTAGTAAAATAGATTTTTTCAATCAGGTTGTGAACATTTGTTTAGTTTTACTTTTTTTGGTCCCATTTAGACGCTAAATTTATTTCACTGGGATAACTGGTTTGTGTGCTTAACCCCCACTGACAGGAATCACCAGTTATCTTACAAGAATTAAATCTCCGGTTTTCCAAAAGTTAAACCTTCAAAAATAGAAAATGTGATTAATTGATCAAATTGATCAAATAAACTGGTTTTAAACTCTGATCTGTTGCTGTGTGCCTTTTGTGATGTCATCAGTGACACGTACATGTGAAGGCTTGTTTTGGGAATTATCAGTTTTATATTGACTAAATAATTTTTAACGAATTAGCAAAACTAATACAAACTGACCATGATATGCTGCTAAAGGTGATAAACTATCATAAGTGAGTCTGAAGACTTTTTCTTATTTTCATGCATCCCCTGACACAGCGGCGCCCTGGGTGAAGAGCCACATGAAAACCAGCCTGACGTTGGTCGGATGTGAGAGGAAAACATTGAGATTATTTGTTAAACTTTCCACGCTGCGTTTCGAAGCTGAAGCACTTTCATCCGTCGGTTTCTGAAGCAATCATCTCCTTAGTGGAGGACTGGGAGGAGAAATGTTTTCAGACTCCTACTGATGGAAGAAAGTGTTATTAAGATGTTCTCAGCCACCAGTAAACACACGTCACTTAAAGAACAGAGGATTCAAGGCAGACGTAACAAATGCAGGGGGCTGATTATAATTGTATAGATGCAGTCAGGAGGAAGAAAAGAGACACAAACTGAATGGGAAAAATGGACGTTTGGGTGGGAAACACTGAGGTAGACTGTGATTTGTTGTCCAAAAATGTTCATTTACAACAACAAAATCACTAGTCTTCCACAGCGTGTCACACTGGTCAGTTTTCACCTGTGGAACAAAAAAACTTTATCTGAAAATTAAACAATAAGAGCAAACCTGAGAGTGAGTGGAAGGTATTAGTGCTTCTAATCACAGAAACAGGTAAACAAACACACTCGGCACCTTATGATGACTAAATGCGTTTGCACTTTATTTCATCGAATTAATTACATGAATGACAGTTTCTTCATTCAGTCGTCAGACGGTGTAAACATGCAGGGACATTAAGGCACTTGGGATTTGCATTTGTTGATGCAAACGCCGGCGTACTGTACAGAGGGAGAGATTAATTAATTTAGGAGAGTGTGATAATAATAATGCACCGATTACTGCGACGCACGTGCAATCACTCGCATAAACGCAGGTCCGGTCTGAGCCGCGGCGCTTTAATAAAAACAAGGAGAGGAAAAAAGGACAGCGGTTTAATCTGCTGGTATTGGTTCTCCAAAGCTGTGCCAATAAAACCGGATCTCTGCAGGATAAAGAGGGAAAGAGAAAAGGTGAGGTCAAGAAGAGGAGGGAAGGAAATGAAAACAAAAAAAATGGTGTTGAAACAAGAACTGGAAGGAAATAATGTGGGAACATAAATAAAATTAAATTTAAAGGAAGGAATAATCTGCCAGTAGGATATTTATTTTTTCATCAGTGTTAAGAAATTAGTGACACTAAACAAGAGAAAAAAATTATTCAATGCAAAATCTGACCAAGTATTTTTGTATTGTTTCCAGTTCAAATATCTTATCACACTTCAAATAAGACAAAACTAACTTACAAATAAGTTTTAAGCATCATAGCAGCTTGTTGTAAGTCAGTCATTTCTTAACAATGATAATAAGCATTATGAAAAAAGATTATGTCACTCATAAAAAGTCATTTCAAGGATTCAAGGATTTTATTTACCGTTTTATTCCTGCAGCAAAAATTTGTTGACACTTAAAAATGATAAAATAACTATGAATGTAACTGAAATAAATTGTCATAAGTGATGAGTAAACACTTAGAAATAAAATAAATAAATACACAGAATAGAAAGAGAAAGTGAAAAATAGGAGCTTTCACAGACTCAATAATTTCTAAATATGGATGGAAAAATACTCCTTCCACTGCCAGATTATTTCACTTATATCAAGTGAAATAATAAGTTTCTCA